AGACTGCCTTTAATGCCAGGTTAACAAATTAAAATTTGGAGGCAGTAAGAATTTTGAGTAGCTGAATAGGCTTGAAATGAACTTTTAGTTACTAGGACCTTTTTAGCCACAGTAATAAAACAACTCAAACTGATTTAACTTAAGCAAAGAAGATTTTTTTAGGAAGAAATGTTACAGGCTTGTGTAATTGAAAAATCAAGAGGTAGTATTAGCTTCAAATATCAGTTGATCCATGGATGTCAGTGGGTGGCTTCCCTGTCTCTTGACCTTGCTCTCCTCCATACTGGCCTTTTTATAGGTTCTTAGAGATGGCCTCTCATGTCTCCAGTTGTAAATCTTTTAGATACAAGTTTATTTATTTATTTTATTATTATTTTTAATATTTTATTTTATTCATTTGACAGAGATCACAAGCAGGCAGAGAGGCAGGCAGAGAGAGATGGGGAAGCAGGCTCCCTGCTGAGCAAAGAGCCCGATGCGAGGCTCGATCCCAGGACCCTGGGACCATGACCTGAGCCAAAGACAGAGGCTTAACCCACTGAGCCACCCAGGTGCCCCTAGATACAAGTGTAGAAGCAAAGAATGCCTCTTCCGTGAAATTCCCTTACAAATCCAGACATTTTCCTGACTGGACTCATTGGTTCCCTTTGGCCGAAAGGAAATCATGAAGATGATTGGCCAGAGGGGGTCCTAAGTCTTCTCCGAGTGAATTAATGTTGGCCCAGGAATTCAGGTGCTCTTGTTGGGTCTGGACCCAGGCCTGGGTCATGTGCTCTCCTCCTGGGGGCAGGAATAGAACCTTACTGAGGCTGTACCATCTGGATGTTGGGGAGCAGTGGTTTCCCAAAGCCGGCAGCATACTGGAGGAATAGTAGGTGTGTCAGTCAGCTTAGGCTACGTTATGCTGCAGTGACCAGCAGCACCGAAGTCTCTGTGGCTCACTAGAGGCGGCTATAACCAGATTCTTTCTCATTCACGCCAGGTATGCTGGGGCCTCCGACAGCTCTGAGAGATGCCGTCCATGTTCTAGCCCAGGGTGGCTGCCTTGGGACCAGGCTCTCGTCCGAGCTTTGGCCGGAGTCACAGAGCTGTCTCTCCATTTCTCAGTACTAACTGCGTAGTCTTGCTGTCATCATCCATTAGGTACAACAAGAATTCACTTTCTAAAGTGGTACGCACTCTTGTTTCTGTTAGGGCAGAAGCACCTCACTGATTAGTCAAGGGCCCTTCTTCCGTTTATACTTTTGAGTCTGCAGTTTAGACAGACTGTCTCTTTGTGAGTGTTTGGCATTCTTTCCTTTGCCTTGTAATTATTCGTGTTTGTTCTCCTCACCTTTTTGAAGTGGTTTTATGGAGCGTTGAAATCCCTTTTAAGTGTCCTTTAGTCCTCATGTTTATTTTGAATGATGACATTAAAATCCCAGCTTTTTGGTGGTGACATTCATGTGATTAATACGCCTTGGGCTCTCACCCCTGCAGGAAATTCCCAGGCAGCACTGGGGATGTGCTGTTAGCGATTTTTTATCGGAGCAGTGTTCCTTGAGGACTTTACTTACTCTTCTCAGGGTGTGGGAAGGGAGGGAGACTATTGCCAACACTATTCAACATAAACTTCTAATTTCAGCAGACTGTTAGAACTTCCCATGAGAAGATCGTCTGTGAAAGCAGAGCTGTTGGTCACTCTGTAAGCAGTCCTGCTTCCCTTACTTCATCTGGAAGGGGATGCCGTGTGGTCATGTTCAGAAAATAGCATTCTGCCCTGGGGCCCATCGATTATGTAAGGCCAGGACACCTGTGGTGGCTGATGCCACGTGGCTTGGAGCTCCGAGCCTCTCCCTTCCCCAGAACTAGTCTGGTGAACTGTCTGCCTTCAAGTTTTTTAAAATGCTACTGTCTTGTTTACTGTCCTCCTATGTGTCTTCTTTGCCAAAGAAAAAGAAAGCCAAAATAATCATCTCATTGATGTCGATAAAAGAAACTAATGAAACGGAATTGTTGGTGCATCTTTTTTTTTTTAATTTTTTAACTTTTTAATAAACATATAATGTATTATTAGCCTCAGGGGTACAGGTCTGTGAGTTGCCAGGTTTACACACTTCACAGCACTCACCATAGCACATACCTTCCCCAATGTCCATAACCCCACCACCCTCTCCCTACCCCCCTTCCCCTGGCCTCCTTCAGTTTGTTTTGTGAGATTAAGAGTCTCTTATGGTTTGTCTCCCTCCCGATCCCATCTTGTTTCATTTATTCTTTTCCTGCCCCCCAAGTCCCCCACATTGCATCTCCACTTCCTCATGTCAGGGAGATCATATGATAGTTGTCTTTCTCTGATTGACTTACTTTGCTAAGCATAATACCCTCTAGTTCCATCCACGTCGTCGCAAATGACAAGATTTCATTTCTTTTGATGGCTGCATAGTATTCCATTGTGTGTGTGTGTATACACACACACACATATATATGTGTATATATACACATATATATGTATACACACACACACACACCACATCTTCTTTATCCATTCATCTGTTGATGGATCTCTAGGTTCTTTCCATAGTTTGGCTATTGTGGACATTGCTGCTATAAACATTCGGGTGCACATGCCCCTTTGGATCACTACGTTTGTATCTTTAGGGGAAATACCCAGTAGTGCAATTGCTGGGTCATAGGGTAGCTCTATTTTCAACTTTCTGAGGAACCTCCATGCTGTTTTCCAGAGCGTTGCACCAGCTTGCATTCCCACCAACAGTGTAGGAGAGTCATTGGTGCTTTTAACTCTTAGGATTTTCAGCAGGCTCTGCCCTATCTAGGTTGTTTGGGGGAAGGGAGAGAAATATGTGCATGCATTTATCAAGTTGTTCATTTATTCCTACATTTGCCTTCCTTGGCCTGGGTGTTCTGTGGGGGGATGTAAAGGCTTAGTTTTAAGTTAGTTTAATATCACAACTTACCTTGTTGCCATGAATAGGCTTTAGGGGAGTCAGCCTCCCTGAAATTATCTGCAAAATCTGGAAGGGCATTTTCCTGGGGAGAGGATTCCAGAGCTTGGGTTAGGTTCTCAAAGAGATCTAAGGCTTCAAGCCGCAAGGAGCCTTCTCACATGCACAGAATGCCTTGTTGTGGACCTCTTTGTGGCTGATGTAGCTCCTGACGGGGGCTGTCACCCTGCGAAAGCAGGACCTTTTGAGTATTTCATGTGGCCGCTTAGACTGGAAGCAGGTAATGCAGGCCATTCCTAGCCTGGAAGAAGTGAGCAGAAGCGAAGGGGGAGCAGTGCAGGCTCCCTGGAGAGCACGGAAAGGACGAAGGGTTGACTTCGTTTTACTGAGGGTAAAACACACTCTTCCCAAATGCTCGTAGAGTCCCATAATCTTGGAAAAGAGCATTAGGGGCACAGCTTCTGGAGCCAGACTTGCCAGATTTAAGTCTCAGATCTGCCATTTAGTAGTTGTGTGTATTTCAGCAAATTATGTAATTTCTGTGTGTCTCAGATGTCCTCATGTATCAAACTGGGATAATACAGTATTTGCATCATCAGACTACTGTACGGATTAAGTGAGAGAATACAGAGTTCTAGGAGAGCATGTAGCACATTGTAGGTGCTTAATAAATGTTAGCTCCAATAGTGGAGACCAGAAGTTGTCCTTAGTCATGGACAGTTGGACTTGTGTGTGCATGTGTTGGATATTTCGTACCTGTCTCCCAAAAAGTCACCTGCTTTCAGCATTTGCACTTATGAGCTGTTCCAAGTAAATTTTTGGTTCATAAACGTCAAAGGATGAAAGAATATGGTCAGATATCCTTTTAGTAAAATAGAGTGGTCAGTGTTCTTGTCACAAAATGTTGCCTGATGAGGTTCTTGCCTTGAGGACTAACTGAATGCAAGTATGGTATTTCCTTTCCATCTTTGGAAATGTACTGTACAGGCTTTAATCCTGATTGTATCGAGGACGTTGTGGCTGAAGACCTCTGGTCCAAGATGTCGCCTTTGATCAGTTCGTCCAGCCTCATCAGGCTTCAGGGGGCGGCTGTCTGTCCTTCGCGTTCCTCTTCTGGTTCCTCTAATTCCTGGGAAATGTCTCCCTCTGTAGTTTTATTCTTTTTGTCATTATGGGTGGAAGATGAGAAATTATGAATTCTTCACTATATTCCATGAAGGTCAAAACAAAACAAAACAAAACAAAACTGCAAAGATGGGGTCTTCAGACTTTTTTTTTATACCTTCCTGAAAATGGTGTGGTACTTTGGGCCGTGCACCGAGGAAGCAGAGGATGAGGTAGTGGTGATCGATTTCACTCCCGCACCTGTCCGTGGGGATAGGAGAATACAGTCATGTTGGAATGTCACATGGGGAGAGCACACGGAGCCATGTGTACGCTGCGAGGCCAGCTGTGTAAAATGCATACGTAAACAGTATTGCAGCCAGTACGTTAATGGTTCTCCCCCCCGCCACCGGGTGAGGCGATGTGTGATACCTAAATGTAGTCATCTAGATGTTTCTCAATGTCTGAAATCTGTAACTAGCACGTATGATTTTTTAAAGCAAAGAAATCGTTTTGTGATATTGAAGCAGAGATTCCTTTTTAGTCAGTGTCACGGAGATACTGTTTACATACTGTACCAGTCACCCACTTAAGGTCTCCCATTCCTGAGCTTTCGGAATATTCACGATGCCCTTCAGCCAGCACTCATCATCAGTTTGAGAACGTTGTCCTCACCCCAGGGGGAGGTGCTGTATGCATTTACCGTCTCTCCGTTTCTCCCCACACCCTCCAGCCCCCGGTGCCCACTGATCTGCCTTCTCCCTCTCCGGATTTGTCTGTTATGGACATTTAGACAAGCGGCCTCAGGCCACAGGCCGGCCCTTGTGGCTGGCTTCTCTCCGTGTAAGGTGGTCAAGGTAAAGCTAATCTGCTTGCACCTTGGGGACTCCTAGGAATCCTGCTAACCCTTACTTTTATCTCAGGGTGAAAATACATTGTTTTCTTTACTTCCAGACTTGGTTCCTTCAATTATGAACAACTTGTTGAATCCAGATGCCATTTTCTCGAACAATGAGATGAGCCTGTCGGATATTGAAGTCTATGGCTTTGATTATGACTATACCTTGGTGTTTTATTCCAAGCACCTGCACACGCTGATATTTAATGCTGCTCGGGACCTTCTCATCAATGAACACCGGGTAAGAGCTCAGGGATACTGTGGTCTTCCTCCTCCTTCCCTTAGACGTTGAAGAACAGCGTTGAGTGGACCTGGCCTTATGCCCGGGATACAGACGTCACTTAGTAAAGTGTTGTTAAATGGATGGGTAGATTTTGTTCCATTCCAGGTGACTCTATCTGGAAGATTTTGTTTAACTACTTTTTTTTGAGGTACGGTTGACCCACAAAAAGCTGTTTATACTTAATGCATATAAGTTGATGAGTTTGGGGATGTGCATATGCATGAAACCATGACCACCATCAAGGTCATAAACTGTCACCTCCCAGAGTTTCCTCCTGCCCCCTTCATTATTATTGCTATTTGTGTGTGTCAGGGAGTAAAGAACAGTTAACATAAGATCTACCCTCTCAGCAGATTTTGGTAATACAATATTGTTTGCTGTGGGTGCTGTGCTGTGTAATAGATCTCCAGAACTTGTTTATTTCACAGAACTGGAAATTTGTACTTGAAAATAGTTTTTTTTTTTTTTAAGATTTTTTTTATTTATTTGAGAGAGTGAGAGAGCACACGAACATGAGCAGGGGGAGCGGCAAGGGGTTGGGCGGGGGAGGAGGGCAAGCAGACTCCCTGCTGGGGCTCAAGCCCAGGACTCTGGGATCATGACCTGATCCGAAGGCAGACGCTTAACCAACTGAGCCACCCAGGTGCCCCTGGAAGACAGTTTTTTTTTTTTTTTTTAATCTTTAAATGTCTCTTTGACAAAAGACTCTCAAGTTAGGTGTTCGTGGAGGTGGGCTATAGACTTCGTGTTCTCATTTCTCCCTGAGCAGTGACGCAGTTTCTTTCAGAGCTGATGAACTTGGCAGTCCATTGAGTTCTAGTTAGAAGAAATCCCTCAAAGTCCTTCCTGACTTGACTTGTTCTTACGTATAGGACATTCGAACGTCTTCTGCTGCATAGTATTGTTAAGGGCTTATAGTAAGGAAGGAAAAAGGAAACATGCAGAACCCGACATGCTTTCCTGTAGTGAAGTTTGAGTTCACGTTTCAGGAGCCAGGATGAGACATCTTCAGGGGCCACCTGGATTAGTGCCCTTTGAGAACCCCACAGCACCCCGAGAAGTACAGCTCAGTTGTTTGTCTCAGACAGAGTGCGTTGACTGCAGGGGCACACTCCTGATTGGAGTTAGAACCGTGCTGTCCTCCTGCAGCTGTCACCACCAATCTCTTCTCTTGTCATTTCTTCCTTCATGCATTGCTTCAGCCTTCCCTAAGCCCCCCGCTGCTTGCCAGGTCCTGTCATAGAAGCAGGGAGCGTGAGGATGAGCACACAGGTCCCAACAGAGTCGTCCCCACAGGGACCCCAGTGGAGTCAGCCATGGAAGCAGAGGAATTATGTGACCACCTGCTGGAGGCCTCTCCCCGTATCTGCAGGAAGATCTAGGGCTGTGGAGAGGCTACTTGGAGCAAATTTCCCTGCCTGAGGGAACTGGGAAACAACGACAAAGGCAGTAGTTCAGCAGAGTCTGGAAGGAGTTTGTCTGCAAAGTTGTGTTGGGGGCGGGCAGACTGGTGGGTCTGAGAGAACTAACGTTGTATCCACTAGAGTAATGTTTTACACTACTGGGCTGCGTGTCATGTAGTCCAGCCTTTATGCCGTCGAAAACGTCTCTTCTCCCAGGCTGATAATTCGTAGTTTTTCAACCATTCTCGTTTGGCCTCCTTTCTGATCTTTTATCATCTTATTTACCCTTTTTGTGTGTGTGCTCTGGTTTATCCCTCTCATATGTGAGGCCCTGAACTGAAGATGTTACTGCAGTTGGGGCTTGACTGGTGTGGAATAGAGGGAGATCATCACCTCCCTGGTTTTGCATATCATACCTTTATTAATACTACCAAAGTTTCCATTAGTTTTGGATCCTTACCATTTGATGCAATGTATCAAATGATCCCCTCAGCTTTGGGTTATCAGTGGATTTAATAAGCAACTCAGTTTCTCCTCATTCAAAATGCAGAAATGGCATTTGCCAAAAATAACCTTCCCTTCTGTCACTAAGCCAGCAGCCAGCTTTCTTTATTATAGCCACTTTCCCACATGCAGACCCATGTAGTCACTGGGCATCCAGCTGCACCTCTCTGTTTGTTTGAGAGACTCTCCTCTCCTGTCGAACAGGCAGACACCCCCCTTCACTGCGGGAGTGACAGCAGAATAAGAACGAGGTGGTCCCACCTTTGTGACCCTGTCTGCCAGGCTGAAGCATTTCTCCACTACCACCCCACCAGGAGATGGAACCGAAGGGGTGTTACACTGGTGCTGGCAGTCTAGTCCTCCATCATCTGTGGCATTTGCTGTGACTTTGATATCACTTATAAAATGAAGGTCATTTTATTAACAGCGCCGTCTGTTGATTTCCTGCCAGGTGCTGAGTGCACAGGTTCTAGAGCTTGACTGCTGGTGTTCAAATCCTGACTTTTCATCACTGACTGCTCAGGGAATCTTGAGAAACTGACCTCATTTCTCTGAGCCTCTGTTTCCTCTGCCGTGAAATGGGCACAGTGACTGTACTTTGCTTATAATGTCATTGTCATAATTAAATGAGTTAATATACATAAAGTGCCTGGCAGGGAGAAAACACTAAATGTTAGCCGTGACTAGCATTGTTTCTCTGTGATAACCCTACAAATAGTCTCTGTTTTACAGGTGAGGACACTGAGACTAATGGAAATGAGCTGGTAGTTCAAAGCCCACGAGATCAGTAGGAGGTAGAACCAGGATTTGAACTTAAATCTGTTTCCAAGGCATAAATGCTCTCTCCTTTATTCCTTGTTGTCCCTTGTGGGATTAATAACACCTTTCATTTATACGCTTTTTTTCATATGAAAATAGAATATTCATGAAGGTAAAAAATTTATGAAGATAAAAAATGTCTGAATTTTGGGGGAAAAGAGATGACATAGGTGGGGAAAAGAAGGTGCAATCATTATGATTAGAAAAGCTTCTGGATTTAAGATCACTGAAATTTCAGTCCCATTATGTCTGTTTGTTGCTTTGATAAAAGAGATCAGTCATAACACTAATTATATCAGGCATATTAATAGAGTCAATTATGCTTATGCAGATTTTTCTCTTGCTCTGATGAAACAAAATAATTCTTCCAAGAGGCATTTAATTTGGTGCCATTTTTCCTGCCAAAGTCTAAATGTACTTGTAGAGATGGGAAGACATCTGCTTTTAAGATGCACAGTAATAGAACAGCTTCCCAAAAAGCAAACGTAAAAGTTCGAGCCCCTTCTTAATTAGATTGTTTTTCTTCTTTTCTTTCCTTTCCTTTCCTTTTCTTTTCTTTCTTTTTTTTTTAAAGATTTTATTTATTTATTTGATAGAGATCACAAGTAGGCAGAGAGGCAGAGAGAGAGGGAGGAAGCTGGCTCCCTGCTGAGCAGAGAGCCCAATACAGGGCTTGATCCCGGGACCCCGAGATCATGACCTGAGCCGAAGGCAGAGACTTTAACCCACTGAGCCACCCAGGCGCCCCTTCCTTTACTTTTTTCCTTTCTTCCTTCCTCCCTCCCTCCCTCTCTTTCTTTCTTTCTTTCTTTCTTTAAGAAAAACAAGTTTTTACGAATAGAATAATATCGGGTAATGATTGTATCCACATTTCCCTTTCATGGGTCCACCAAGGAATAGAAAGGGTGTTCTGGATTTCGCACCCAAGAGCCACGCGCCCTCATCATTCTCTGGCATTGACATTTACCTGTTTTCTAAATCCAGAGCTAATGTCAACCGTGACCCTTGCCATTCTTCTGTATGCTGTGTCTGATCTGTCAGCAAACCCTATGGGTTCTCACTCTCTCTTCTTTGTAAAATAAACTGTTAATTTTCGGAGAGTTTTAGGTTTATAGACAAGTTGTGAAGTTAATGGGGAGAATTCCTGTACCTGTATCCCAAGCCTGGTTTCCCCTCTTGTTCCCAGGTTACGTTACTGTGGTCCATTTATCACAACAAAAGGACCACATCGATCCATCTTTATTAACTAAAGTCCTTCCGGGATTCTAGATTCCCTTGGTTTTTCCCTGATGTTCTATTCCTGTTCCAGGGTCCCATTCCGGACTCCCCAGTTAAATTTAGCTGTCATATCTCCTTAGGCTTGCTTTGAGAATTTCTCACAATTCCCTGGGTTGTGATGACCTTGACACTTGTGAGGAGTACTAGTCAGGCATTTTTTTGAGGATGCCTTCTCTTGGGATATGTCTGACATTTTTCCTGTGATTAGACGGGGGTTCTGGGTGCCACTCTCACCATGTTCATGTCAAGGGTACACATTGTCTGCGTGACTTACCACCCATGACGCTGGCCTCTATCACGTGGCTGAGGTCTGTGTCTAGGATCTCTGCCACATGAAGTTACTCTTCCCTTTCCATGTTCTACTCTTTGGCAGGAGGACCCTGTGCAGCTGTGAACTTTCTTTTCACTCATTGACGATATGTCCTAGCTCTGTCCCCCTCTTCCCAGCTGCCACTGCTCTGATCTAGGCCACCATCACCTTCCAGCTATGTGGCTCCTGGACCCAAAACCTGCTTGAGCCCTCCTAGTGTGCTTGGAATGACAGAGAAGGCCTTCCAGTGTGCCCAGGCCCCCCGTTTCTCCCTCTCTACCCATCCTGCCCTCACTCGGCTGTGGCCACACCAGTGTTCTCGCTGCTCCTTGAGCTGCTGGACCCTCCTGCCCTGGGCCTCTGCACCTGCATTTCCTCGGCTTTGGAACAATCTTCTTGGCCCTAGGCAATCTGAGGCCTGGCTCCTCATGTTTTTTTTTTTTTTCCCCTCCAGATCTCTGAGCCCTTGCATTGCATTTGCTCTGTAGTCCTTCTCACCAGGAGGCCTTATGCTGGGTGTTTATGGTCAGCCTCCCTGTGGAAGAGTGTAAATTTCTTAGGGGCGGGGACTGTCCGTCCTGTTTACTGCCATACTCCTGGGCCCTGGCACAAAGGACACAGTTGAGTGAGAATGTTGTGTTTGGTGTGCAATCACCACTCAAAGGCCAGTTGTTCTGCCCTCGCTTCACATTTTGGGAAGATTTTAGAGAACTTTGTTTTTGTGCTCTTCTGCCCTGCCTCTAGTAGGACTCATAATTTAGGTTACTTAAAATAACCTTAGAACTCTGAAAATCAAGGATTTCTAAGCATCTGGACCTCAGGAACTCATGGGCAGTGTTGTGATGTAGAGGTTACTAGCTGTCTTGAGAGCTCTGTCACTCGCCAGAAAGGAGGCACGCGGGCCAGCTGCAGAGCTGTAGGAATGACCCCCACACCGGGAGCTCCCGGGTTCTCCTGGGTTCTCCATGGTGTTCCACTGTGAGCTCTGCCTGGAGCTGTGAGGGACGTTTCTCTAGCACCTCGCTCTCCCTTTGTCGCCACACACTAGCCGGCTCAGAGTGTGCTTGGCATGAGAACAAATCCAGGTGTTGAGGGAAACCAGACTGGGCCCAAATAAGAAAAATTTTAATAAAAATCCCCAGGCAGTTCTTTTTTTATCTTTTCATACTATTTGTTCTGCTTTTAGAGACACCGGTAATCTTCATGTTACATTGAGTGAGCCCTATTTTTGAGGCTGGTGGAAGGTTTCTCCACTCTGACAAGTCCAGAAAATCTAGCCGTAGGCTACTGGAGAAAGTGTAACCTCCTGGCTGATGGGAGCAGCTCTGGCTTCCTCGACGGGATGTCGCCCTTGACGGTTATTCCCAGAGATGGATGCTGTGCATGTGTATGTGTGTATGTGTGTGTGTGTGTGTCTGTCTGTGTGTTGGAAAGGGGCCTACCATGAGGACTTGATCGGCTGTATGGGGAAACACAATTTAGGGGCAGGAGTGGAACATAGAAATTGCCCCAGTCCAACCATTTCATTTTCTAGAGGAAGGACAGGGCTTGGAGGGGTTAAGAGACTGGCCTGAAGTCCTCTGGGGGGGTAGCAGAGGCTAGCAGAGTGGGTCTAGAAGCCCAGGCCCCCAGTTCCATGTCCAGGAAAGCAGCTCCATGGCATTGCGCCCTTGCTACGGGCTGGAGACAGCCCCGCTGCCTGCATGCGTTATATTATTTTTATAAATTTTTAAAAATTTTTTGAGGATTTTACTTTTTTTAAGATTTTATTTATTTATTTTTATTTGATAGAGAACACAAGTAGGCAGAAAGGCAGGCAGAGAGAGAGAGGAGGAAGCAGGCTCCCTGCTGAGCAGAGAGCCTGATGCGGGGCTTGATCCCAGGACCCTGGGATCATGACCTGAGCCGAAGGCAGAGGCTTTAACCCACTGAGCCACCCAGGTGCCCCGAAGATTTTACTTTTAAGTAATGGCTACACCCAACGTGCAGCTTGAACTTAACAACCCCAAGATTAGAGGTCGCAGGCTGTACTGGCCGAGCCAGCCAGGTGCTCCCCCATATGCGTCCTTTGACTTATCTTCTCTGCTTCCACCCACAGTAAGACTCTTGGCACCCTTACTTTGGGGACGAGAAAACTGACGCTCAGCGAGTGCCCTTACTGAGGTCACCCAGCTAGCACGTAGTAGGACGGGGATGCGATGTCTCATCCCGCATCCCTGGAGCCTGTTCTTTGTGACGACAGTGTTCATGAGGCCCTTCCAGCTGCCTCTGTCCGTTCTCCACATTGTCTTCCATGTCTCTGGTCCCCTGGGAAAACACTGTGTGTTTGTCAGGAGTGGTTTCCCAAGACCACCCAGCTCTGGGGCCCATGGTAGGTACGTGGCTGTGTCTCACTGTGCTGTCTGTGCCCTGTGGGGGTCGTCCAGACAGGCCCCTCGAAGAAGGAGCCGCTAGACTTCTAGCAGTCGGCGTTCAGACTGTGCTCTGTCTCGAATTCACACGCCGTGTCTCAGCCGCAGCGGCTGCCCTGCGCTCATCACCACGAATCCACAGAGCAAACTCACTGGGCCCTCTGGGGTGCAGGTCCCGCCCTCTCGGGAGCGAGGAGCGTCCAGAATGGAGACTCAGGGTTTGTTCAGTCAGAGGGAATTGCAGGTTGGGGTGGACTTGGGTATGACATGGGCCTGCAGTCAAGCACTGGCCCAAACATGGTCCGTCTTTGTGAGCCTGGGCAGGTTCCTTGACTCTACTTCTCATGACTCAACAGTCCAAGGCCACGAGGTGCCTCACCCCCGCCACGCTGGTGCGGTGAGGAGTACATGGGATAGCGTTGCAAAAAGCGTGCAGAACAGTGTGGCCCAGGACTCCTTAAAACCACCCCTGTCAGGAGCATTTAAACATCTCCCCTGTGTCCTACCCGTTCCTCAAAACTCCCAGGTTTAGGAAGAGACTCCAGAGGGGTGCGGACCCATGGCCTCCCTTTGGGAGGCGTGACCATGGTGCCCTGTGCGGGGTTCTGGGGATGCGAGTGTGAAGTCTGTCCGTGAAAATGCAGAACTGTACACGGTGTTCAGGATTCTTGGAAACGCCTCCGAGTGGAAATAGCATTTGGTGATTTCTTGGCATGCGCGGCAGGTGTTAGATAAATGAGCTCAGCTGTGACATTTGAGTCAGCATTCTGTGCAGCTTGAACACGTGTGTGTGCCGTTCAGCCTGGTGGGTGCGGGAAGTGTTCCCACGCAAATGGGACCCTGGCCATGGAAAGTTAGTACTGTTGGGTGAAGAGGTTCTGCGTCTCTTGGTAGCTGTCTAGGCTTTTTTTTTTTAAGTGGGGGAGGGGCAGAGGGAGAGGGAGAGAATCTTAAGCAGGCTCTACACCCAGCACAGAGCTGGACATGGGGCTCTATCTCACAACCCCGAGATCACGACTTGAGCTGAAAGCGAAAGTTGGATGCTTAACCGACTGAGGCACCCCCAGCTGTCTAGATTTTTACTTAAGGGGTTTACGCTGTGATTGGAAGGAAGATCCTGGTGTCACAGCCTCTCTAGACTCAGGAGTACTCTTCTGTCCTACAGGTCTGTGCTCGAGGGGCAAAGGCGAGAGCAGGGGAAGAGGCCCAGATCTGATTTCGTGCCTCACTGCATCCCAGCTGTGTGGCCTGGCCACCCTGTGTCTGTCCGTGCCTCTGGTGTCCTATCTGTAAAATGGGAATGGGAGAGCCTGTGTGCAGTAGCAGCGGACACCGTGCTCAGTACCTTGGTGCTACTGGCAGGGGAACCAGTGTTCTAATTCTGAGATTGGGAGGGAGAGAAGGACTTGAATGCCTAGCCTAGTAGATAAGAACAGAGCTGGGGTTTTTGCATAGTTTGAGGAATGGTTTGATAACAGGAACTACAGGGAGCCTAGTGACACGTTCTGAGTCCGAGTGTTGGAACAGTAACGGGCTGCCACGTGCTGAGAGAGGTGCCTCTCGAGGCTGAACCTAACAACAGGGAGTCCTTCCAGCCCTTGTCGGGTGAGCCGCAGCCGACTGTCTGGATGAGAAAAGCAAAGAAAGCTGTATGGAGGGCACCCCCCCCCCGAAAAGTTTTCAGCTTGGTCTTCATGAAACCTGGTGGTGGGACCATGCAGGGGCTGATACACTGAGCCGCTCAAATGTGAGCTGAATGGATGGTTGGTGATGTGTTGGGGAAACTGTGCTTCTAGGAGAGGGGACATTCCAATTCCTCTTCATCACTGCCTTAAATACAGTGAGAGGAGGTGGATGCAGATGTGTTTCTGGGGAAAATAGGGGTCCAGGGGCAGAGGGAAGGGGTGGGTGGGGGCAATTAAGATGAGAAAAGCTGGGGCCGGGGGTGAGGCCTTCCCTGTGCTTGGGTAGATGAACAGGAGTGGGTGGAGGGAAGGCTCCGTGACCAAGAGCTCTGTACTTGGGCCAGAAGCAGACGGCCAAGCTGTGGTCTGTCCTCACCGCATCTTCCCGCCAGAGTGTGTCCGCCACCTCAGCTTTTGTACAGGGACCCAGTCTGGACGCTGTCTTGAACTTAGTTTGTTGTTAGCTAAAAATAGTTACTTTCTTCTTTCTTAGTATCCGGTGGAAATCAGGAAGTATGAGTATGACCCAAATTTTGCAATTCGTGGACTTCATTATGATGTGCAGCGGGTAGGTTTCATTGTGTGTTTTTCTAACATTTTAATGGAGCTTGGGAATAATGTACTCTCGGCGCTTTTCTTTGCTGAACACAGAAATTGATTTTAAATTCTATTCCTTGGGGCCGCAGAACTGAATTATTAAAAAACATCTTTGGATAAAGCCTTTTGCAAATGACTGTATTAGAAAAAAAATGAATGTGTTTATCTACTTGGAAGATACTCCTTATTTCTAGAAGCTGTTTTTGGTGTTCTGAGGAGCAGCCTGTTCTGTTGTTTTTGCAGATCAGTCGTTTCCTTAACAGACTGCACAATGCTTTTTTTTTTTTTTTTAAAGATTTTAATTATTAGAGAGCGTACTCATGTGCGTGCACATGAGCATGGGGGAGAGAGAGAAGCAGACTCCCCACTGAGCAGGAAGCCTGATGTGGCAGGCTCGATCCCAGGACCCCTGGGATTATGACCTGAGCCAAAGGCTGATGCTTCACTGATCCAGCCCCCTCGCGCCCCCACAGTGCTTTAATCAACAAGCAGACCTGTCCAACACGTACACTGTGCCTCTTTGCCACGTCCACCTGGTGTTGCTAGGATTTATGAGGACCCCTGAAATTCTCATTAAATATGCGGCTTGCCGTCCGTTATTCACCCGCATGTGTGTTTATGTTTTTGAAGGCAGTGTTGATGAAGATTGATGCTTTCCATTACATCCAGTTGGGAACTGTCTACAGGTAAGCGAAAGAGGAGGTAAATTTAATTCACTCGCAGTAACCAGGTGGCTTTGGGTTTCAAGACCCACTGACGGCCTGGTGATGAGGAGGGTTGTAGTGTGTGTATTTGTGATTTATTCACTCATTCATTCAAGAACATTTACTGGGGTCCATTATGCCAGATCCAAGGGGTTCGGCTTATAAGGATGCCACAGGGAGCTTGGAGTGTAGGTTGGAAGCCATTTAAGTAAACCAGTGACTGCAGTCCTTAGTGACCAAGGTGATGATGGTGTTTAGACCATTAGGGGGCGCTCTGGAGGGGGTTCTGGGGGAGGATAGGCTCTCTAGACGTGCCCATCTGCCAGTTGAGTGAGGGTCCTGGAGCCGAGGTTTTGGGTGGGGAGGGAGGCTGGGGTAAGGCAGGGGGTTCTTGCTCCCACCATGGCAGTTGAATAGTTCGGATATTAAGGAAACTCTCCTCCCCCTTTCATTAGAATTAGTAGAAGCACTTAGCTCAGTCCAGAATCTTTGTCACTTCAAAAATGAAGGATTTTACCTTTTCTAATTCTTGAATTTGGGGGAGATTTAGGAGTATGGTTATTGTACCTTAAAAAGAGGTGTGCCTGTCTTAGCTTCTTCTTTCACAAACTCTTCATTAAAATTAATGTTTTTCTGTCCAACTTAAACGTGCGCACCGTTCCGATCGGATACCACCGAGAGCATTGTGGCAGACCACAGTAGCCCTCTGTCCCCCTCCCCACCCAAGCCCTTACACTCTTCAGTTTTTTCTTCACGTCATTATTTCTAAATACCGTGCTCATACTTCTCTTTCCTAATTTATTAATTCTGGATGTTGTCTCTGCCACGGGACAGGACTGGGTGTGCGCACACGTCCCATTTTGGGCTCACGCTTGTCCGTGAGTGTCGGCTGGTTCCTCTGTCCTCGGGCGTCGTTTGCGTCATGACTCTGCAGGTCTCGTTCCTTCTGATGCCATGTCATTCACGGTGACTGCCCTCCTCTGGTACAGTGCTTGCTTGTTCTTAGATTTGTTTTCTGTAGAGGTGTCCTGAGTTTTTTCTCAATGTTCCATCACCAGTATCATCCATGTATTTATTTCCAAGGATTTAAATGTCTTAGATACACTATCAGTTCCTTTTGTATTTAATTGGCTACTCCTTCTGCTCTGATCTTCTTTGATGGCTTGTCCTGGGGCTTGGGTTTGCCTCTCTCCACTCCCCGATGCCCGTCTCTTCCTCTCTCTGGCTCTACTCCCTCATTCTGCTGGAGCACACCCCCCAGAGCTGCCCGGTGCCTCTCAGGGCTGAGCCTTTCTGGGGGGCTGTGGCGACTAATCAGTTCTTCACATTGGTGTACCCTTGCACGCCCCTGTTCTTAGTTTGCTAAGCCAGAAGCCCCCTTTTCATCTTCTACTTGTCTTCCACAAAGGTGTTGAAATGTCCTGTCTGCTGATGTCTTTGCTCTCATATCCTTTCACTGTTTGAGGAGTTTATTCTTTTTTTTTTTTTTAATTTAAGAGAGAGCTTGTGTGTGCAAGCTGGGTGGGGGCCCAGAGGGAGAGAGAGAATCCCATGCAGGCTCCATACCCAGCATGGAGCCCAACGAGGGTCTCAGTCTCACGACCCTGAGATCATGACCTGAGCTGAAATCAAGAGTCAGGTGCTTAAGTGACTGAGCCCTCTGGCATCCCTGAGTCGTTTATTCTTTTACTATCATTTTAATGGTGTTTCGGGAAGTAGAAGAGATGGTGTTAATGAAAATAATAATATTTGTAATAATTAATAGCAACGAGCAGTTATTAACTCTTGCTACAGCATAGACACTGTCTTAAGTGTTTTATTTGTGTTCACTTATTTGATCCTTGAAATAACCTTATGAAGTAGGTATGGGTATTAGGCCCAGAGATGTTAAGTAATTTGGCCAAGGCCACACAGAAGTAGAATTCCGACCCAGGTGGTCTGGCTCTGGAGCCTCTGCCCTTGGCCTACATGCAGCATGGTTTTGTTGTACAGATTAGGTTAATGAAATCCTTCACAGGTATTTCGGATCTTTTCCTCATCTCTGTTCCTGTCGTCAGCTCCCTGGCTCAGACACTTAATCCTTTTCTCTAGGGCCCTTGCAGTTTCCTGCAGTGCGGTCTCTCCTGGACGTTGTTGCTGGACTCATGCATCTAAAGCAATGCCCTCAACAGACCCTCTCTCCTGCGATCCTGGATGGCTCCCACTGCCTAGAGAATGGAGCCCAAACCTCTTGGGTTTCCCACCAACCTTCTCTAAACCCGTACCCTACTTTTCTTCTACACACAGCCTTTCATTTCCTGGATCAGTTAAGACTCTTGGTTACAGGTACGGAAACCCGACTCAGACAGGGTTAACCAGAAATACAACAGTGGCTCACCTGTGGTGCGGCCCAAGGGACAGTGCCCGTTGCAGGCGTGTCTGGTTCCAGGGGCCAAATTGATGTTGTCAGAACTCTTTCCATCTGTTGGCTCTCTCCCTCTGGGTTTGCTCCAGGCAGGCCCCTCCGCATGAGACCCCGGCAACACCCTTGGCCAGAGGTCAACAGGAGCAGGGGATGGTCTCTTCCCAGCAGTTACAGCCAACCTCAGCGTGTGTGAGGCAGTTGCACACAGCACATCTATTCCTCTCCTCTGAGCTCTCCTTTCCCGCTGCTTGTCATCTGCTCCTGCTTGGGTGCACTTTTCCTTCCTTGCTGCTGCTTTAGATCTCACGCATCCTTCCTTCAAGGCTGGCTGGTGCTGAGGACTCACCCTCTTCTCAGCCCGACATGGTCTGTTTCTCCTCTTCTCAGACCACACAGTCCTATGGCTCCTAATTGTCTTATTTCTTCTGTAGGTAAGTTTTCCATCGTGTTTAGGGAGTATGGACAGGGCTAGGTGAGAGAAGCCAGCTGAGGCACTGGAAGGAAAAGGAATGTTGGTGTTCAGGTCCTGGGAAGGTCACTGTGGTCACAGCGCTGAGGGGTGTGGCGGGCTGAGGCAGCATGGGTGCGCACGTGGGCTCTGGAGTCCCACTTCCTCAGCATGGGCCCTGGCCTTACTGCTCCCATGCAAGCAGCTTCTTGACCATCCTGAAGCCTTGGTTTGTGCCTCTGTAAAATTGGCCTGATGCTGCTGGTGGGCCTGGGGGTGGCTTGTCATGCAGACCAGGGTGTGCCTGGAGTAGGAGAGGCACACCAAATGTCACTGCCTTTGCCTTCCCCTGAAAAGCGGTATGGATGAGCTCTTGGCAGGGCAGAATGCCCCCTCCTCAGCCTTGCCCATCTGACACCTGCCGTCAGGTGGGTCCCCAGCTCCTCTGTCAGGTTGGATTTTGTGTTGGGGGCTGTGGAGTCAATGGCACAGGGCAGAGGGGGAGGCAGACTGGCTGTCTCCACAGCCCCATTTTGTACCTACGATTTAAGTTCTGACTAAGGATCTTGTGAAAGCCTATGCTTGTTCTCATCGCAGGCACACCGGCAAGGCTTTGCTAGTGCCAACTGTATACTCCTCTGTATATCGGAGCTCAACCAATCTCGGTTATGCCTGGAGGCAGGTACAATTATTGTTCCCATTTTAAAAATGATGCTGAGACCCAAAGAGGTTCCATTGCTTATCCAGGTACTATCCCTACTAATGACGGAAGCTGGGATTTGAACCCTGGGCAGACTCTTCAGATCTGTGCTCCTAATGTTAGTATTTCTTACAGCCACATAAGGCCACGTAAAGTACTTTGCATTTTGATCCTCGCACTGGTTGAGGCTGCTTCCAGGCGCGGCTGGCCGTGGCCCAGAGCCGGGGGCCCGGTCCTGTGGGCTGCTGCACCTGTGGGCGCACCTCCTTCGGGTTCCCACTTGCCGGAGTGGACTCCTCTCACCTCTTACATCACCGCTGCTTTTGAGTTGACATTCAGTCGTGACCTGGGCAGCCTGGGAGGCTGTGAACCTGGGTTAGGGCAGGGCCTCATGTGGGGGCAGGAAAATGACTCACCCAACAGAGTTCTTCTACTTTTTATAGTTTCCTTCTAAGTGTTAGAGTCTTAGGCGGGTACACACCTGAGCAGGAGCTGTGCCCCAAGGTCACTGCCCAGAATGATCAGGAAGTACAAGGCCTCCTTTGTTTTCAAAGGCTGGAAGTTTTAAGAAGTTGATGAAGATGGGGGGAGGGGCAAAATACTAATGAATCCCCTGGGGTATTTTTGAAAGTTATAGGAGGGCGGAGAACAGAAGGAGGCTGAAATTATATTTTCATTCTACTTACATATCAAGTATAAATTACATTTTGTATGTACTTTAATGCCATCCTGGTGATTTTATAAGATAAGTAGCCTGTTCGTGTTAGACTCGCAGTGCATCATTCGTCCTCCCACTGTCTGTGGTGCTGGGTGGACTTTCCGTCATTCCTTCTGTGACCTCCTTGCCACGGATGTCTTGTTTCTCAAGCACCTTCCCTAGAGAAGCAGCTGGGAACAGACATTTTTCTCTGTGACGCTCTAGAGTGGGCAGTGCCAGGTGAGGAGACGCGAGAGCATTCGGTCCCCAGCAAGAGCACCTGCTCACGGCACTGGCGGCAGGGTCGCTCTGCCTCCAAAATTTATCTTTCCCTTCCTGGAGGAGTTGGATTCATTTGCAGATTCTCCCGTGGCTTCCGGACACAGGCAGAGGGCAGATGTTACCCTGGCTTTTTAATAGGTGAAGAAACTGGTCTGGACTGTCACTTAGCCTCTGGGGTCATCCCTCCCGGAGGTGGCACCCAGGCTTCCTGCCTGTGTCATGGGGTTTAGTCCACCTGAGCCTTATGCGTGGCTTTTCCCATCTCTGCGCTGACCTTCTTAGGTCAGAGTGTCAGCTGGTAGGAGGATGATAGAGACAATGCTAGCTTTTCTCTCCCTGATGTGTTAAAAACATAAAAATGGAAACATAGACCCACCCCAAAGCGGACACTACCCCCAAAGCAAAGCGAGGCCATGTACTTTGTTGAGATGGGCCGTGTGACATCAGTGGTTGAAGAGCCTGGGCCCCTAGAGCAGAAAGCCTGGGATCTGGTCCTGTCCCACCACTTTGGGGACCTTGGGTAAGATACGTGACCTTTCTGGGCCTCAGTTGCCTCTGCTGGGAAATGGGAAGATGTTAGTGCTTCCCCCCTAGGATTGCTGAGAAGTAAGTGATTGACTGTGTGGAGTTCACACCTGGCATCCCTAGTAGGTGTTATTTTTCCTGCCCTTGTTACCCACGGAATCCTGGCGGTGGTAGTGGCAACAGCACCTTCTTGCCTGTTACTTGTAGCCATTACCTGTGGCATGTCTCGCCTCCTCGTGACAGTGACATCTTGCACCTGGGCTGAAAAATCCCAGCAGTTGCCTGAGGTCTGAAAGTCACTGCTCTTGCTAGTTGAGTCTAACTGCACCACCTGTGATTTTTCCAGAGGCCTCAGTGTTGTCCCTGATGAAGAAGTCATTGAAATGTACGAGGGGTCCCACGTGCCTCTGGAACAGATGAGCGACTTTTATGGAAAGGTAATGAGAGATTATTTATTTAAAGCAGCCTGTCAGCAGACATGGCCTGGTAGACTTAGAATCTCTCTGAGCGCCTCTGGAACTGCCAAGGGACTTTGGGACTGTTTCAGGACTTTGGGCCCAGGATTTGTGAGAGGCTGGTATGGTGGCATTTCTCCTAGGCCCCTCATGATTCCCCTTTCTTAGCTCTTTCCTCCCTACCTGATGATGATTCTTAATACCTTCCTTGCACTGCCCACTGTCTACAGCCCCCTACGCCAAGGCATGTCCCCACTTTCTAGATGAAGTCAGGGCAGCTATAGTTGCCTTCCCTGAGATTGAGGACAGCAGGTCACCCTGGACTTGAAGGGAAGTTTCTGTTTCTCTGACTTTTGTGGTTCTCTTTGCTTTCTGAATTTTTGCACGTCTTATTAGGTGCACTCTTATTTGCACTGTCAAAATGCAACAGAAGCTGCCCAGTCTGCTGGTAAACTTGGGGTTGCTAACTGCAGGCATGCAGAGAAAGGCTCTTTCACAGGCTCACACACGGTTGCGTGGGGGCACTCAGGTTCAGGAGAGCCACGCGGCGTTCTATGCCATTCCACCGGCAGTAGTCTACTTGCCGGCTTTCCTCTGGGTTTGACAGGAGAGTGTGAGCTGGAAGTTAGAACTCACAGGAATGTGAGATTGATTAGATTTTTTGGGGGGAAAATCAGGGCATTGCCTTGGATTTCCCGGTTGTGCTTAAGAGTACGACGTCAGCTCTGTGGGGAATGATAAATAAGGTGAATGCTTCTACTTTGTTATTGTTAGAACTGTCCTTGGGGTGTGGGATCCAGATGTTGATGACCAGAACCCCCCTGGGGAAATGTCCCATCTGGTTCTGCTGTGGTGTTGGCCTCCGTTTCTGACACTGTCCTCCCTGCCTGCAGAGTTCTCATGGAAACACCATGAAGCAGTTCATGGACATCTTCTCCCTGCCGGAGATGTCCCTCCTGTCCTGCGTGAACGAATACTTCCTCAAGAACAACATTGACTATGAGCCTGTGCATCTGTACAAAGACGTCAAGGTGAGAGGCAGTGGTGCCACATCTCACAGAGGGTTTTAGCAGAAGGGACAGCATCATTAGCCTCCTTGGGCTGGGCATTTGCCTGGGATCTCTTTTATTTATGGTTTTACCATGAAAAATTTTTTTTTAAAATATTTTATTTATTTATTTGACAGGGATCACAAGTAGGCAGAGAGACAGGCAGAGAGAGAGGGGGAAGCAGGCTCCCTGCTGAGCAGAGAGCCCGATGCAGGGCTCAATCCCAGGACCCTGAGATCATGACCTGAGCCGAAGGCAGAGGCTTAACCCACTGAGCCACCCAGGTGCCCCTACCATGAAAATTGTTAAGAACGATCTTACATCAGGACAATTGGAAGTCAGTGTAACTTTGTGTTAAAGGAAGAGAGCGCTCATATTGCTATCGGGATTTCTAATTCTTGCTGACCGAAGGCCAGCCCCGGTACATCTGGTCAGAGGGGTGGCTGGTGGCTGAGGTCCAGCCCGACCCAGTTTACCCCCGAGCCCGCCTGTGGAGGGGGTGACTTCACACACAGGCTGCAGCCCTTGGAACTGCTGTTGCTCAGAGCGGGCCTTTCTCTTGTACACGGAGGTTCCATGCAGGCCTTCCCAGGCCCTGCAAAAGCTGTGGGAAAACCCAGTTGGAGAGGTGGATAGACAGCTGTGAAACTTACATGCAGATATATGCACATCATTTGTGTAACTTTGTATTTGTATATGTTGATTTGTGTTCACATGTGTTTATAGTCTTTAAACTCTGCACTTTTTTCAGGACTTAAAAATATGTTCATGTATTTATACTAACAATACACGTGTATATCATATACATATATATTAATAAATGTATTTTTATGTATATATTTATATATGTAATATGTATTATTTAAGTACTTATATTTTTAAGAGATCTGTATTTATGTACTGCAATGTTTTTATTATATGCTTATGACTAATTTTAAGTTTCCACTGCCTTAAATTGTGGGTTTTGGGAAGATGGAGGATGAATTCTCATTTCTCAATAATAGTCTGGTATTATTTGAACTAAAATTGAATAGTTTCTGTTCTCCTTTTTGTGTGCACAAATGCTTTAAGAATCTTTAAGTATCATGTGTAGTAAAAAATAAATAAAAGAGCCACTTGTAGTTATATGACCCTCGCGGTCATGAGGAGGGCTGTTTACTTGATGCCGCCAGCAGAGAGCATTTAGGTCTATTCCTGGCACTGGCTTTCAGAGAGCTTCACGCATATAAGTAATTAAGTCCTCACAACCAGGCTTGGAGGTGGGTGCTGTTATTCCTCTCATTTTACAGATAAAGGTATTAAGGCACTGAGAGGTTGAGTCACTTGCCCTGAGTCACACAGCTAGTAAGTGGTAGAGCCTAGATTTGCAGCCGGGAAGATTGGCTCTGGCTTGCTCTATGAACCCCTGCTTCTGCCGATGTGAGTTTGAGACAAGCCTGTGCCCGAGGTTGAGTTTGTAGTCCGGAGGTACTCATGCTTGGTGGAAATCTCCTACCAGTTTTTGAAGACTGATGGTCCAGTTTTGCCTGCAGCCCAGTCCCCTGCTGTTTCCCCCCTGAAAGTTTCCGTGTGCCTCCAGGAGAGCCACCTCTGTGGTGGACCTGCTCAGTGCCCCCGCAAGCGGCGCTGTGCTCCGACCCCCGCCAGGCGTCAGGCTGCTGTAGCCCACGGCCGGTGAGGCGCTCACGGCCTCCTCTTCCCCGTCTGTCAGCCGCAGGACGTCTCCGCCTGAGTCAGCGTCTGCTGACCGCTCCTCACCTCACTGAATGGAAGAAGAGCTGTCATTGGTCTCGGCCTCTTTCTGTGGAGGAGAGAACCTGCTCTTGGGGTCTAGGGAGGGTGCACGGATAAAAAGAGCCATAATTCCAGATGCCCCGTAGTCATCAGTTCGTGAGACTGCCTAGAAATCGCCATTTACCCTGTGGAATTTTATTCAGAATTGTTCTCACAAGTTACCTCCCTCCTCTGTGACCCTGCTGCAAACTGCCACTGTCACCATGGAAACCTAAGCGTTGGCCGCCTGTGTGAAATGGCCCAGCACTGAGATTTCATCTGGTGTTCAGCCGGCCAGGCTTCTAAAGACAGACATCGTCGCAAATGTCGCTTTTCTTGTCACTCAGGCTGTCTCACGGACCGTCCCACTGATTAGAAACCTCTCTTTTGACAGGATTCAATTCGAGACGTGCACATCAAAGGAATCATGTACAGCGCGATCGAAGCAGATATTGGTACGTAGCCAGCACTGTCGCGAGGGCCGCCTCAGCCTGTCCCTCTCCCGGGCCACGAGCGGCTGTCGTTTTCATTCCCAGTGGCGACCCGGGGCTCAGCGCCAACCCCCAGTGCAGCGGGAGGACCTTGCTTCCTCGCACCTCGGACATCCCCCTCCCCTTTGTCTCAGGACTCGACCTAATCCTGACCCAGAAAGACGGGCGCTGGCCGCGGCAGGCAAGTCCGTAGTGTGTTCCCATGGACCAAGGTGGCAGAGTCCTGGTCCCTGAAGTTCCAGGCGCTGCTAGGCCAGCCTGGACCACGCTTGCTTGAGACTTTTCCAGCCCCGAGGGCCCTGGCTGCGCTGGATCCAGAGGCCCCGTTTAGGGAGCCCCTGCAGACTGACCCGCCTTGACGCTGACTCCGCGTGTGAACGTTTCTCTTGCCCTCAGAGAAGTACATCTGCTACGCCGAGCAGACCCGCGCAGTGCTGGCCAAGCTGGCCCACCACGGCAAGAAGATGTTTCTCATCACCAACAGCCCCAGTAGTTTCGTGTAAGTGGTTGTGGGTGTCCCTCCTGGCTCCTGGCTCGCGTCATCTTGTGTCCTATTTATCTTCACGGTTGAAAATTTGAAAGAAAACATTGCAAAAGTAGTGAATCCCTTTCTTGTTAGACTCACCTGGCCGACATGTTGTTTCAGGGACAAAGGGATGAGGTATATTGTTGGAAAAGACTGGAGGGACCTGTTTGATGTGGTCATCGTTCAGGCCGAGAAGCCAAACTTCTTTAATGATAAGCGGAGGTGAGCATCTGTCTTTCTGGGAGAACTAGATTGTCACCCTTTGCTGACCTGACTTGGTGAAGTCTATTTGGAAAATCAGATGCATCTGACATTGTAGCTTTTCATTTTGAACCTTGTGGCAAGTAATTGCCGGGTGCGTGGGCTTAGTGCACAGCGGTCACACAGTGGTCGGCTTGGCTCGCACCAATTGAGATGGTTCCCACTTCAGCCCTAGGGGTCAGGCTCTAAGAAAAAGATTGATAGTAATGAGAAAACCAAACTTAGTATTAATTACATCCGAAGTTAGCCCTCTTGATGCAGATGTGCTGTGAAGCTTCACGAAACAGCAGTAACAACGAACCACCTGCTGGACGTTTTTGGTACATGCAGCTCTCAGTAGTGCATTTAAAATTACAGCTGGATTTTGCAATACTGCAACACAGGTTTTGTGCCAAATGGAGTAAATCTCTACCAAGACTTAGGTAGTGTGTTCCTGCCATGGGCAGTAGAGGAGTGGGGAAGTTGTGGGTTATGACGGTGACTAGGGTGTGCTCTTAGCTCTAATGGTTGGGGAGGGGGGTGTCAGGGATCCTAAAATGTTTTTCTTTCTTTTTTTAACATTTAAAAACATTTTTAAAAATTTTTAAAAGATTTTATTTATTTTGAGAGAGTGAGCGAGCACAAGTAGTGGGGAGGGACTGAGGGAGAACAAGAAGCAGACTCCTTACTTAGCTGGGAGCCTGATGTGTGGGACTGGATCCCATTCTCTGGGGTCATGACCTGAGCCGAAGGCAAATGCTTAACCGACTCAGCTACCCAGATGCCCCTAAAATGTTTTTCAGTGGTGGGATAGACCTCTTTACCAAGAGCCATTCCCCTGCCCCCTGTACCCATTTATTTTGTCTTTGTTTTGTATGCATGGAACACCTCCGTTCATCCCTGTTATTTATAGTGATGAAGATCAGAGACAATCTAAAGGAACATCCATGGGAGGGAATATTATACAGCCATTAAAAATGGTGTATTTGAGGGGTGCCTGGGTGGCTCAGTCAGTTGGGCAACCGATTCTTGATTTTGGCTCAGTTCATGATCAGGGTCTTGGGATCGAGCCCCACATTGGGCTCCATGCTGAGTGTGGAGCCTTCTTGGGATTCTCCCTCTCCTTTTCCTTCTTCTTGTCCCTGCTTGTGCTCTCTCTCTCAAAAACGGAAAAAGATATATTTGGGAAAAAAGCAGCGAGCACGTTTTTTGACTTAAAAACACATATGAAAGAATTTGTAATCACATGGGAGATTGCTCACAACAGTAGAGAAAAAGATACAAATCAGTATACACAGTGATCTTCATTTATGTTCATAAAAAAGAGAAAGATAACAGATGTTATCTTTATAGACTGAAAGACACCTACTGAATCTTAGGTGTTTATAGCTGGGCACTGGGATTAGGGGTCATTTCCCTTTTCTTCATTCTGTTCTGAATTTTCCAGATTTTTTGGAGTCAGTTTACATTTTTCTGATCAGAAAAGCAATCCAAATAAATGTTACCTTAAAAAAAGGCAGACGGACCCCACATGCCTTGGACTTTTGTTCTTTTTTTTTCTTTTTAATATTAAAGTTCTAATTGGCTTTATTAAATGATTCATGAATTAGGCTACATAGCATCTAGCAAGTAGAGGGGAACTCCTGTAGGCCTTTATTCTTACTCCCGTTCTCCATGATAAAGTGATTTGTCTCATCCTCAGATCTGTTTTGTGTCTAGAGTGGCTAGATTTCAAGCACCGAGTGGGACACTGTGTAGTAAGGTGGTATTTCCATAAGCTGTGTTTGTGAAGCAGATTTTCTCTGTGTGATCAAATACATTTTAGGAAATCTGAAAGTTTCTCTCCCAGGAGGGTTTGCTAGAGTCCTCAGGGACTTTTAAGAGGGACATAAGTAGTGCCTAGTGTTCCCCAAATTTATCTGACCCTGGAGTTCTTTCCTTGCTAAATACCTTTTGGATCCTGGGGTCTGCAGTTTGGGATGTCTGCAATGGGCCAGGTGGTGTGGTGGTGGAGTTTGGGCTCCAGGCCTTTTCCAGGTTTGTGCAATCCCTTTCTGTTCCCACTGAGTAACTGTGCGGTGTTTCCTAGGCAGACCGCCTGCACGGTTCCCACGGGTCATAGTGTTTCCCTTTCTGTTGTTAGACCTTTCCGCAAGGTGAACGAGAAAGGTGTCTTACTCTGGGACAAGATCCACAAGTTGCAGAAAGGCCAGATTTATAAGCAGGTACCTCATGACTGATTTCTCCTTTTTGTTCCTTTGCTTTGTGGTCAGTTATAATAACAGCCAGTGTTTGTTGAGGCCTCTTGTGTGCCTGGCATTGTTCTGAGTGTTCTCCTTGAATTAGCTATTTATAACTTGGCAGCAAAACTTTAATTTAAGTCAGTGTATTTTCAGTGTGTTATGTCCAAATTAACTCAGAATTGAAAGGGTTTAAAAACAATTAAAGAATTACTTTCATAGTTTATACAATTTAAGATGTTAGTAGTAAACCTTGGATATTTCTCTTGAAGAAATGTTGAGTGACATGGTGTATTACCTTAAATTAGTGATTATTTCCTGATGAGCTGTGTTTTATATACAGTTTTGATCTATTTTAGTATCAGTGAAGCTTTCAAATGTTTGAATAAGTGATTGAATCACTGACCCTTGTGTTACTGGTTTGTTTTATCTCATCCTTTAAAATTTTTATATTTCTGTAAGATTTATAAAACACATGAAAGTATTTATAAAACAGATGAAGTACGGCATGGTTAAAAAAACTTGAAATGTTCCTGGTGGATTTGTAACACACTGCTGCGTTGGGCAGTAAGTCTATTTTCCAGATGTTGAAAGATTTGCTTTGATACAGCTATCCCACTACTAGCTAGTTAGACCAAGGAAATTATTAGGACGTAGCTCAAACTTTGCTACAAGAATATTTGTCATGAGTTACAAAATAGATAACAAAGTACATGTCCAACATTAGGGGATTGGTAAAAAGAACCACAGTATTTCTCGCTACTCAAGTGGTAGATTAGTATTCACTGACATGGTTATAGAATGTTCCGTGTAAAAAGATCATTACAGAGAGGTATGTACCATATGAATCATTTCTGCAAAGTGCATTTGACTTAGAAGAAAGGTCTGAGAGAATTCGTGCAAAGGTGTTTTTATCTTTTATGTTTTGGTACTTAAAATTGTAAATAAAAGTAAAGCTTTTGCTAAGTTTTAAAAAATCGATATTTTGGGGCACAGGGTATATAGGTTTCTATCTCAGATGATACAGTATCTCTCCTTTTCTATTGTTGCAGGGCAACCTATATGAATTTTTGAAGCTTACTGGATGGAGAGGATCCAAAGTGTTGTATTTTGGTGACCACATATACAGTGACCTGGCGGTGAGGAACCTTTTTTCTTTTCTTTGCTGGGAGACAGATGTGTTAGTCTCACTTCCTAAGGAATTTCTCTTGTTTAAGACCATTTTTATGCTTCCATAAAAATGAGGACAAGGTTGCCTTTTTTTGTGGGGGGGTCTCATTTGTTACAGAATGGAATGGATCAGAGGTATAAAAAGTAAATTTTTTTTTGAAATGATAGAAATTAGCAGTTTACTCAGGATTTATGAGAAAAATCTTTCCATTCAGGTAATAGTAAGAAATAAATGCCAATCTTTTCGTTTTTGTGCTCTTATTAAATGTCCGAGGCGGACAAAGAAGAATTCATAAACGTTAGGGAATCTTTTGCAAGTTCAAAAACTGGCATTTCCAGGAAACAGCTATTCTGAGAAAGTGAGGCATTTCATGCCCACTGGCATAACTAGAGCAGCATCGCAGGACATGAATTATGACTTAATCTATAATTGGAATAAGACTGAGTCAGTCATGTTTCCTGCCATGCCAGCTCCTGGTGCGGTGCGTTTCTGTTTGCTCAGTGAGCCCAGGCTGGTGGCATCAGACTTCAGACCATCTGTTGGAGGCAGAGGTGGAGGGGTGATTCCAGTGCCTTTGTGCGGACACACTCTTGCCAGGTGATTCCACGCTCCCTGCATGGTCACGTCTGTCCAGCGGGCTGAGGGTCTAGTGGAAGGAATCATGGACTCAGAACTGGAAGATAGGTTTCTATCCCAGCTCTACTATTTTCAGCTGGGTGAACTTACCCACAGCCTCCAAGCCCTGGTGTCCTTATTTGTGAGAAGAGTCATGTAAGATAATGTATGTAAAGGTGATTAGTTAAGTCGAAATATAAAGCGCTACCTTCAGGATGTTGGCGCTACCAGAATGTTCCGCTGAGTGACATGGTGTCACAGACATTTGCCTCTTGCTGAGGGGTGTCTTTGGGCCTTGATAACTGTGTGCTGCCCTTGAGGTATGTGGGTACCGGGCCCTGTGAACGCATGTGCACACCACACACACACACACACACACACACACACACACGTACAGGTCTTAGCATTATGAGAGGTGCTCACAAGGCAGTAGTTTCTTCAAGGGTGGTCCCTGTGACATCAGCATCACCTGGGAAACTTATTAGAAATGCAGTTTCTCAGGCCTCACATCAGACCTGCTGAATCAGAAGCTCTGGTGGGGCTTGGCCATCTGTTTTTTAAACAGCTTTTCACACTGAAATTTGATATCAAGGTAATAATTGCCTCAGAATAAGTTAGGAACTGATCCCTCCTCTTCAGTTTTTGGAATAGTTTGAGAAGGATTGGTGTTAATTCCTCTTTAAATGTTTGGAGGAATTCCCTAGTGAAACTGTCTATCTGGTCCTGGGCTTTTCATTGTTGGGAGGGTTTTGATTTCTGATTCAATCGCCTTACTAGTTAGAGGTCTTTTCAGTTTTTGTAGTTCTTCATGAGTTAGTCTTTGTGGATTGTGTCTTTCTGGGAATGTCATCTAGGTTATTAAGGTTGTTGATGTATGGTAGTTTGTAGCTTTTACAATTCTTTTTATTTCCATAGAATTGGTAGTATTGTCACTACTTAAATTTCTGATTTTAGTAATATGAGTGTTCTGTTTTTTTTTTTGTTTTTTTTTTTTTTTTGTCTTTGTCTAGTTTCTTATGGTGTGAAGTTGTTAATTTGGGACATTTCTTTTTTCACATATGTATGGCTATGGCTATACTGTATATATAGTGTATGGCTATAAATTTCCCTCTTACTACTGCATTTGCTGCATCCCATAGGTTTTGTTATGTCACGTTTGCATTTGCGTTTAAATTTGGGACAGGGTATTTTCTCATTTCTCTCACGATTTCCTTGACTCATTGTTTGTTCAAGAGGGTGTTCTTTCATTTCCATATGTTTGTGAACTTTTTAGTTTTTCCTTCTGTTGATTTCTAGCTTCACTGCTTATGATCAATAAAGATACTCTGTATGATTTTAAAACCTATTGCAACTTGTTTTGGGATCCAGTATAAGTTCTGTCCTGGAGACTGTTTCAAGTGCATGGAGAAAAATGTGCATTCTGCTTTTGTTGGGTGGCATGTTCTGCATATGTCTGTGAGTTCTTGTTGGTCTTCAGTGTTGTTCAAGTCCTATATTTCCTGACGTGTCATCTTTTGTTTGGTCATTTTTCTGTTATAGGAGTGGACTGTTGAAGTCTCCTGCTGTTACCACAGAGCTGTTTTTTCCTTCAGTTCTGTTCATATCTGCTTCATAGATTGTGGCACTCTGATGTTTGGTGCATATATGGTTATAATTGTTATAACAATTGACCTTTTGCCATTATATAATTGTCATTCTTTGTGTCTTGTGACAGTTTTTGATTTAAGGTCTATTTTGTCTGATATTAGCATAGCACCCCTGCTCTCTTTTGGTTACTAATATCTTTTTTAAACCTTTCAATCTATGTGTGTCCTTAGATCTATGATGAGTCTCTTGGAGGGATGCCTGTCTGGCTCAGTTGGTGAAGCACATGACTCTTGATCTTGGGGCTGTAGGTTTGAGCCCTGCATTGGGTGTAGAGATAATAAATAAATTAGTAAATAAATAGTCTCTTGGAGCATATAGTTAGATCCCATGCCAGAGTTTGAAAACCACTGTTATAAAAGATCAGTTCATTAACATGTCAGAAATTATGTGGCAAAGCACATTATCCTTTAGGGGAGTCACCTTGGGAATGTAGGTACTTCTAATGTTGCTCTTTGTCAACACACATTTGGGTGCCCCTTTAGGAATAGATTGGAGAGCCAGGGTGAGGCACAGGAGAGAATCAGTTTTATTATTAGTAATTTATTATCATATGCTTTAGTCTTCGAAATGTTCCAGATGACTTTTTACTTATTTTCAGAAATAAAAGCTACCTTCAAAAGTTTGCCACTGTTGGGAGTATTTAAAAGGTTATGCTGTAGGTTTTCATGTATGATAGGAGGAGAAATGCTGAAAGGTTTAAAGAAATTCAGTAGGTGAAGAAAGTAGGCAATATCCTTAGCACTTATGGAGCAGGGATTCTGGCTTTAGGTGAGTAGCCAGTGAACTCTGAAGATTTTAAACCTTATACCACTTTATTCCTTAAAACCTCAAAGCTTTCCTTTATTCTTCAGAATAAAAGCCTGATTTCCTACGGTTTCCTACAAGGCCCTGCTTGATCTGTCCTTCTAAAGCCCTCCTCTCTGAAGGCAGAACCTGCCTCTGCCCTCTCCTACTCAGCTTTAGGCTCCCTGCCTGGCTGTTCCTTTACAACTCTACGTCCACACCCCCACCCCAGCATGTTCCTGCCCCAGGGCCTTTGCACTTACTGTTTTCACAGCCTGAATTGTTCTCCTCCCGCATAGTTCATACTTTCACTCTCCTTCCCTTCTGATCTCTTCTCAAACATCCCTTTATTGGCCTTGTTTTCCTAACCACTTTATATACAATGGTAACTTTTTTCCTTCTTATTCTGCTTGATTTTTGACCATTGTATTTATCACCACCTGCCTTTGTACATACTTTGGTTTATTTTTTGCATGTATTTCCCATGAGGGCAGGGTTTTGTCAGTTTTTGTTCATTGTTTTATCCTCATTGTCTAGAACAGGGCCTGGCACTTAGTAGTTGGATAAATATTTGCCAAATGAGAAAATGAATGACCATTTAGTATGCTGATTGTTTAGCTTAGATTTCCCAGGATATATCTGTTGACAGATACTTTGGCTTAATTGTCAAATCACAAGTTCACTCTATCTGGCATGAGAAATGTGATCATGTATGTCTGTGTTGTAGGATCATGCCAAGCCTGAGATTTTAAAATTCCTCATAACCCACAAGGCCCAGCACACAGTGGGTGCTCCCCAGTGGTCTGTGGACAAATTGAATGAAGACCTCCAGTGGCATTTCAGTGGAGCTTCTTATTCTGCCCCTGACCTAACTGTTGTTCTACAGACCATGGTTAATGATTTCAGACCCTGTGTTTCTGCGGGGGCTTGATTCACAGCCATTATTTCCAGAACAGAAACTCTCTTTGGGTGTTATGATCAAAGCCTGTGGCTGACTTGGCTTAATTACATGTAATTGACTAAATTTGGCTTGGTTAATAACTAGGCATTGCAGTGAAAAAGGAATTCAGTGCACGCCTGTTGCGTCTGGGAAAGGGAATGGAATGGTATAAATTCTGTCGAGAGGAGTGTTGACTTTTGGTGATCTTTGCGATCAGGATTTGACCCTGAAGCACGGCTGGCGAACTGGTGCAATTATCCCGGAGCTGAGGTCCGAGCTCAGGATCATGAACACGGAGCAGTACATTCAAACCATGACCTGGCTGCAGACCCTGACCGGGTTATTGGAGCAGATGCAGGTTTGGGATTTTTTTTCTCTCGCCTCCTTTTTCTTCAAGTCTGAAGTTAGTCCTCTAATCAAAGTTACTTCAAATATTTTCTTTTAACTGTGGTTATAAAGCATGAGGTGTAAGGCATCCTGCAGAATAACTCCTGGGGCTGTTTTGCCCCCAAGAGAGTGTAGACATCTTTAAAAGTGCCCCGCAAATTCATTGAGAAGAGCTTTGTGGGGCCGTGTAAACGCGGGGGTCTGTGTAGATTCCTCTGTCAGTGGAAATCCTGTGTCCTCACTTCCCCACTAAAGCTCTCTTGGGAGATATCCTGTGCAATAATGGGATTTGAGAACCTCTGCTGATGTGTGGGACCAGTCCTGCTTCTGCCTGGGCCTGCTGCTGTGGGACTTCCCCATTCTGGGCCTCAGTTTCCCCATCTGCAAAATGAAGGGTCCTGTGGAATGAACCCCTCAGGCTGGGCATCACGGCTTGCTGGAGAGGGTCTCAAAGCAGAAGTCAGTATCTCTGCATATAGCCTCCACTTGATTTTGAACATAATACTTACAATTTCCTGGCTCAGTGGAGTTCAGTGGCAGTTTCTCCTTTGTGTAAGTTATGTAGCCAGTTTCGGACTGTTAGTGAGGACTGTTGTTTTTGGTGATTTTTCTGACTCACAGAAGCTACCCCTCGCTTGTCACTGTAACCCACTCCCCCTTCTCCCGAGACACCTTGCTTCCTGCTTGGTTCAGCTGACCTGGCCTGCAGCCGTCCCAGTGTGAGTGCTTTTTTAGGATAAGGAGCACGCTGCCCGCTCTCTTGGCTAACACACCTGTAGCTTCTGGCCATGGCCTGTGGCCCACAGTCTGCCAGCCCACTTTGGGAATGGGCAGGGGACTGCCTTGCCCGGCCCAGCTGGCAGCCCGCATAGAGGCAGCTGGCAGTAAGCTCAGGCAGAGCTGTGAGAAGCGGCCGGCCAGGCCCTCACTCCAGGGCCCACACATTCCGGAGCATGGGACCTTGCACGTCCCCCGGGCCTTGCTTCCAGTGGGCTCTGCCCACATTGGTTCTTGGCTGGTCTGTGATGAGGATTTGTGATGCATCCCTTACTATGCTTGTCTGTGAGGTGCTTTTCTAAAAATACAAGGCATCAATTCTGGGTTAATGTAGCTTCAAGTGTGTACATAGGTCAGACAATAATAATAGTTACTTTTCACATGCCAGACGCTGTGCGGAGTGCTTATTCTGCACACACGAGTCATTAATAGTCCCGGCTGTCCTTTGCAGGCAGGTACAGTTTTTCCACTTAGAATAAAGAAAATGGGTGTTTGAGAAGTCAGGCAGCGTGTCTGAGGTTGTAAAATGACAAAGCAAGAACTTGAACTTAAGGCATGTATGACGTCCAAGTCCGAGCCTTTGAGCACAACGTCAAAGTGCTTCCCTGCTCTTAGGGTTAGACTTCTCCGTAGCTGTGGCAGCGCTGCCTTCCCTCTGTCATGCTGTCAGCCTGACAGACATAGATACGGTCTGCATGTGGATGGTGTCACTAAATTTTAATTTAAAAAATTTTGAATTTATTAAAAATTTTTTAAAATTATTGATTATTTTAGAGAGTAGTGTGGGTGCACACAGGCACATGTTTGAGAGTGGGGGATGGGGGAGGGAAAGAGTCTTCAAGCAGACTCCCCTTTCGAGTGTAAACCTCCCTGCTGCCCCCCACATCCCTCCCCACCCCTCCCCACACCCCTCCCTACCCCTCCCCACACCCCTCCCCATCACTCCCCATGCCCCTCCCCACCCCCCCGGCAATGCAGTACTTGATCTCACCACCCTGAGATCATGACCTGAGCCAAAACCAACAGTTCGATGCTTGACCAACTGAGACACCCAGGTGCCCCACATTTTAGCTCTGAGGATAATTTTTTTGTTTTCTGTTCTCTGACCTGTATAAAAAGTTTGATGATTAAGGAGTTTGTGTTTTAGAGAATGGAAGTGCTGAAAATATTTCTCTGACTTTGGAAATAATTATATAAGACAAAAGGTGGGGGAAGGAAGAAGAGGGAGTTACCATTCACATTGCCAATCCCATTTTACAGGAGAGGGAATTGAGTCTGAAGGACAGATAACTTATCCTGAGTTCCAGAGTTCGTGAACATCTGAACCAAGCTATTTGGAAACGTTCTAGACACTGTGTTCTAGAACCACACTCTAGACACACTATAGGACCCATGTTCTAGATACAATGCTCTAGATGCCATGTTCTAGATACCATACTGTAGATGCTGTTCCAGGCTTTATGTTCATTTTTTTCTCAAAACAACTCTTTGAAGTAGATACTAACACTCCCACTTTACAGATGAAGCACCTGGGGCACAGAGGAGGTGGAAAGTAACTTGGCAAGTAACGGGTGATGATGCTGGGCTGGAGACAGGGGCAGTCTGGCTCTAGAGTCTTAACTTCCTCACTCTCACCTCAGGCTCTAACTCTTTGCACAGCTTTCTGTCTGGTTAGCGTCACGAGGATAGAGAGAAGTAGGGCAGATAATGAAAAAAAAAAATCCAGATGAGTGTCCTTTCTCATGTTCTTCCTGTTCCCCTTCCACCCGCACTGCTGCCGCCATGTTCACCTAAAAAGCTAAATATTTCCAGTGACTTTCTGCCTCATATTTCTAGACACTCCCCTTTAGGGGTAATTTTCAGAAATGTAGTCCTTTATTTGGACTCTTTGCTGAAGAGAAAAACATCCTCAGAGGTTGGGTTTGATGTTTTAATTTGTGAAGCCAGCAGAGTGTCGTTGGCGGCCAAGTGTGATGAATTAAATATAAGTATATAATTTTGGCTTTGAGAGAGTAGCTGTAAAGAATAAAGATAATTTGGTTTAACTAACCTTGAAAGTAGAGTCCAAAATGATGTGGTGGATGGTGGCAGTGATGGTGGATGGTGGTAGAGAGCCTTCCCGGGTTCTTGTGTCACAACCACATTTAGCTCTGGGGTTGGCCAATTTCTGCAAAGGGCCAGGTCAGTCAGTGTGTCGTGCTGTGTGGGCCAAGCCGTCTGTCACTGCTGCTCAGCTGTGCTTGTGGCCGAGAGCAGCCCGGGACAGTGAGGACCATGTGTAAATGATGGGGCGTGGTTGTGTCCCTGTGGCTTTCTTGATGGACACTGAGATGTGAATGTCCTATCATTTTTGTGTGTCATAAAATTGTTCTCCTTTTGATTCCCACACCCCCAACCATTTAGAAAGGAACTTACTCTTCACGGAAGCCGATGGGAAAAACGGGTGGTGGGCTGGATGTGGCCTCCCCTGGTAGAGGTTGGGGCGGCTGGACTGTAGGGCTGCACTCACACTGGGTGGGAGGGCTGGTGCAGGGATGGAGTGTGATTTGCATTGTTGCTACTGTGGAGCTGATTATGCTAATTAACAACTGGGGCCGAAGATGGGACCGGCCTCTTGTCTGGGCTTCTGGTGAGTTTTTACTGATGTTAACGACCCACCTGAGTGTGTATAGTTTCACTTAAAGATTAGTTATCACTAATGAGCACACACTTCTTCTGAAGCAGTTTAAAGTAGATTTCAGACACCTGAGACTTATTTAAAAGTTTGGCTTTTTGGGGGAGCAGAGCTGGAGAAAGAGGTACCTCAAGGAAAAATAGCCCTTTTTTTTTTTTTTTTTTTTTTTTTTTTTTAAACAGAAGAGACTTGAGCATGTACAAAAGCTGATGGGGGGTGGGCGCCAGGGGAGGAGGCAGAGGTTCTGACAGTGATGGTAAGCGGTGGAGAAAGCTTCCCAGGAGGGCAGAGTGGGGCACATTATGTCAGCTCCATCTCTGGAAGAGCTGGGGAATGTGCCTTGAGCTGGAAGACCACAGGTTGCCCTTCCAGTCTGCAGAGCCGGCCCTGGGGTAGGGGACAGGAGTGGAGAGGAGGATTCTCATGCCCTGTGGCAGCTAAGTTTCAGAAAGAGAGCACCGGGAGATTCACTTGGTAATCCTTATGCCCGTCACCAGAGCATTCTCTCATCCTGCATTTATGGGCAGAGTAAGGGAGAAGACGTCTCTCCCTCCTGCTTAGACAAGGACGGAAGTGCCCAGTTCATGGGCTGAGAAGGGTGTGTGGGCAGAGCTGGGGCGTTCCTGCTCACAGACTGACCCCTCACTCTCGTGGTGTTATGTGGTTTTATCATGGTCTGTTTACCTAGGCGTACCCTCCAAGGGGGCCTCTTTCTTGTCCTCTCTTGTATCTTCAGCATCAAGCACAATGCTGGGCACATAGGTGTGCTGTACAGATATGTTTGCGTGTGCATGTGTGTATAGAAATTACACATTTTACCTCTTCTGATCTAGTCACATATTTTGTCGATCCTAAATGCTACAGTGAGTAGCTTCTTGAATAAAATGTGAAAACTAATTAAAATCATGTTTACAGAGCCTCTGTCAGCACCCCCAGAAGTGCTGGGGCAGTCTTCCGGTGCTCCCAGTAACAGCCATTGGTCGTCCAGTGGCAGTTGCCTCCCCCACTGGTACAGGCGGTGTGGGCAGGGGGAATCCATCCAGATTATAAGCTCAGTCCACCTGGGTTTTGTGCGAGTGGCAGAGGCCTTTAGCAGGTGACTGCCAGTTAAGCTGTTGAGCTGGGCAGAGGCAGTAAACAGAGAGCCTTGGCTCCCATGTGGGAAGCAAATGGCCTGCTTGTTTGGTATTTTCCTCCGGGCTCTAAGGCTGCCCATGTGAGCATGAATTGCAGGGAGCCCCACCTGTCGTCCATGGTCACGTGAGCCTCTGACCCTGGCGGGGGCGTTCCTGCTCAACCACGTGACACCTGTGAGATTCCGTTTGTTAGGTTGTGGGCAATTGTCCTTTCTCTTCTTGCCTTTTGCTCACATTTCAGCCCAGCTAGAAAAGTCTCTGCTTTTCCCTTCTGGTTGAGGTGCTCTACCTTCCTGTCTTTCACAGAACAATTATTTATTTTCCCTTGAACACTTCCGAAAGGATAATATCACCTCAAGGGAAAACACTAAAACTATTTATAATCCCACTTTCCTTGCACAAATTAAAGAAAAATTTCCATTGCCAAAATGTTCATTGCCACATACATGCACCTGTTTTGACATGCTTGTAATTAGAGACGTATTGTTATACCTGCTAAGTCCACCTACCTGCTGATTTTGTTTGTACTCATCTGTGATATGTGTAATGGGGGTGTGTGGTAAGTGGATGTTTGCACATGTGGTACACACATGTAGGGGACACACTGTACACACACGTAACACATATGTTTTACGTGGTTATATATGCATCGTGTTTATACACAGCCTTCACTAATACTGTAATAGCCCCAGCTAATGGGGGCCTTGTTTAATAGGCTCATAATGTTCCATCTCTGTTTATTAAATCATGTTTCTAGTGTTGGAGATTTAAAACTTTTGTTTTGGTGAAAAAGGCAAGAATGCAGCCAGGAATCTGAAAGTGTAGTATTTCAAACAAGTGCCTATGTCTTTGACGTCAGGGAATAAAATTCTTCCAAGAAGAGTTGCCCCTTAAATTCTCATAACCCCATGAGCTTATTGGCCACTAGAGCAACCTCAGTGATTAGCTTGTGTCCTGCAGGTTCACAGAGACCCCGAGTCACAGCTGGTTTTGCAGGAGTGGAAAAAGGAAAGAAAGGAAATGAGGTAAGAGGGGCCCATTTCGAATGCGGCGAGCCCGCCACCCTGTCTGATGCCCGCTCAGCCTGCATGCCATCCCCAGTGCTGGTCCGAGGCAGCCCTCCTTTTTTAGCTGCCAGGTGTGAATGGGACCATGGCCATTGTTGTAGCCACAACTAAACCGTGGCTGCCATTAGCGGGGGCCACGTGACATTTCTTTGAGGCAGCAGTGACCTTTCTCAAACTTCTAGTCCTTGCCTTTGAACGCCGGGGTTGAAGGAGCTGTCCCTTCCCATCCCTCTTCCCTGCCCGCTTGACCTGCCCATCTGCGCAGCTGGTGACCCAGTTGTAGCTCATGTTGGCAGGTGGCAGCCCAGTGTGGTTCCTGGGATGGCTTGGGGGGCGGGCTCGGAACCACCATGAATTCATAGGGCTCCTACTGCCTAGCTGCTTCTTTGTCATTGGGGTATATGAGCATGTGTAAACATCTCAGTATCAGAATGTTTACTGGTGGGGAGAGCCCACCTGCTGTCTGAAAAGTTTGGCAGGTGGCATCTTAAGGGAACAGTTGTTCAGAAGAGGCCCGTGGACAGTCCTGCTTCCTTAAGAAGGATGCCATGTGTGCAGACACTGTTTATATGGCCGTTTCTGCTCTTGCTCGTGACCTCCCCTTTTGCTGGGCGTGGCCATCTCTAGGCTTTGGAAGGAGTGGTCACTGCCTGGGTTCTGGCTGCTGAGCCGTGGACAGCCTGCTTGGGAGGAGTGGCGTGGAGCGGGGCCAGTGTCATCCCTGGGGGCTGCAGAGGCCACAGCCATATTGAATTCAGTCCTCCTCTTGGTGTCGGCTGCCTGGGGCTTATTTTGATTTGGTTCTTAATCTATTATTCTTATAGAAATGTGGCGTGAGAGGGTGAGGGGAGGCATATGGTGTGATTGGACTCCAGGCCTCTTGCGCCCAAAGGCCAGACCCAGGCGCTACCCCAGGAGTCGCAGATCGTCTGATGAAGGAGTCGCTTCACCTGTTTGGGTTCTCAGTCTCCTGCAACCTCATGTCTTAATGAGGCTTTTCACGAAAACTGTAAAAACCGTTTATGTTGCTCTGCTTGCAGACCTAATGGAGTTTTTAAAATTTTCTACTCTGGTTGTCATGGCATCTGCCGTTCCCATTTACTGGACAGACGGCTGCTACCAGCTGTGGCTTGTGTTGCACGGTTGTGGACGTAGTTACATTTCCTGCTGTGTTTGTGACTGTGGTATTAACAGTCAAGTGGTCTTTATCCTTTTGCCAGACTGCTCTGAGTGGAGGGATCCCAGCCGTCAGATGGTGCACGTATCCTGTGTTTGTGTGTGTGTATGTGTGTGTGTGAGAGAGAGAGATGGGGTATTGGTTTCCACGCAGAGGCACACCTGCAGGGGTTAGAGCCCGGGGAAGGGGTGAGCAGCCTTGTCAAAAGCTGTGCCCTGGGCCGCGGAGAGGCAGTGAGGTGTGTGGAGCTGGGTATTGGATAACGGAGATTTATTTACTTCACTACCAGATAATCCTTAATTTCCCAGACCTCACAGTACTTTAGGGTGTCTCATCTGCTTTTACTTGTCTTCTCATATTCTGTTCTCATGATAACCCTGTAGAAAGGGGGTCCTGATCCCATTCTGCAGATGAGATGAGGACGATTCGGACACGGAAGACATCCAGCATCTGTCCGTGGTGCCCTTCCCCTGCCCCTGTGTTTTGGTTTGGAAAACGATGTGCCTCTTTAGAGGACCATCCCCGTCGAAGCCGGAGCCTTCCCTGCTGCTCTCCGGCCAGCCTAAGTGGGAAATGTGGTCAGAGTCATTTGATGAGTGGACGGGCAGACTGTTTTCCTGAGCAGAGCTTGGGCTGTTCCAGGCTGATTTTCCTTTCCAGTGAGTCCTATACAAATAAAAGGGCTATGCTGAGTTCATTAACTTAAAAAGAGACTTTTCTGAATCATTTTCTGTTGCTTTGCTCTTTCCTTGCTTCTTCAGAGAAATGACCAAAAATTTCTTCAACACCCAGTTTGGAAGCTTGTTCCGCACAGACCAGAACCCGACCTACTTCCTGAGGCGCCTGTCACGCTTTGCGGACATCTACATGGCGTCTCTGAGCTGCCTGCTGAACTATGACGTCAGCCACACGTTCTACCCGCGGAGGACTCCGCTGCAGCACGAACTTCCTGCCTGGTCGGATGGGGCCCCCACCTTCAGACTCCCTCTCCTGCAGGAGGCCCATGCCAAGTAACCAGGGGCCCAGCTGCAGAAAAAGCCAGAAGCAGGGACAGCCCCCAACTGGCTGGACGTGATGGGGTTGACTTGTGTGCAGACGAGTGTTGCTTTTGGAAAAGATACAAATATGCCTTTTGATATTTATTACCTTATGGAGACTCCTTCCACGTTGTTAAGACCGAAGCGAGCAGCCCACCAGTTCCGACTTCGCATCTCTTGTTGGGCCGAGTGGGAAGCTTCATACTGAAACCCTGCCATCAGCCTTTTTGTTTACCGAGGTCCTGGATCGGGTGTCCGTGTTTCCGGGCTCGGTGACACCCCTTGATGCCATCTCTCAATTCTAGCTGCTGTAGTGTCCAAACTGTTCTTGACTCTTCCGTGGAAAACGGGCGGACCATTCCCGGACAGTGCTCCGGGGACCGCAGGGGCACAGCGCCATGTGACAGTAAGCAGCTCGCGGAAAGCTGACGGAGGAGTCCACGAGCTCCGTAATAGCCTCGCACGGCAGCAAGCAGCAGAGGTGGCCCCCACGTGGCCTCCAGCGCCCACGGTGCAAGGTACCAGGGGTTTGGCCTCCTGGTGTGGCCGCCCTCAAAGGGAGACTCTGCCTCCTTGCCAAAAAAGTCTTCTGTAACTGAACAAGAGAAGTTGCAAGTCCTGGCCCCGTGGTTGTCCTCAGCGGCTGCTTCCCGGGTCCTACCCTGCCCTGGGAGCACCTGTGGTGTCGCCGGCGAGAGGCGGGTCCCACTCCTCCCTCGGGAAAGGAGGGCGAGGAGAGGGGCCCTGCCTTAGAGCCCGGCTGACCGGCCGTGTAGAATACAGCTGCAAGACACAAGCAGGCCGGAGGGACCAGCGCCTCCGTGGTGGGCCTCCCCGGGGTTCATCCTGCCTGAAAATGCCACCCAGGTGTTGGCTTGAGGTGCTCTTTAGAGGACAGAAAATGAAGCAGGCAAAAAAATGTCCTGTCGTGACGTGCCCCCTCTGGAGCCCTGCGGGGTTAGGATCTTGTTAAAACACTCGCATGACCTTCAGGGGAGGTGGCGGCAGCCCTGTCATTGCTTAGCTGCCCCAGCCCCATCCTCCCCTTTGAGCTCCCCCCCGACCCCCCACCGTGTGGCTATTTGGGGAGCGTGGGTGGTTTTCCCGAGGTGTGCTTTGAAGGTGGGAGAGGATGAAGGGCGGGCAAAGCCAGGAGGAGACTTAGGAACGGCCCGGCCCGGCTTGTCTAGCGTCTCATGGCCCTCTGAGGACGACGTGAGGGGCACGCGTGTTTATCCGCAGTGGGTGCGGATGGCGGCGCCCTGAACGGGGACGTGTAGGCGGTGCTCGCTTGTTCTGCATTTTACCGTGGTCCGTGTATTGGAGCCAGCTGCGGATGAAATTTCAGCTTGGCATTCCACAGACCACCTGCCACGGCCCACAAATGAAGTGGGGTGCATGGCTTCCCTCGTGATGCCGTGCGTGATGCCCTTTAGACCCAGGAGGCCCAACTTGGCCCCTTTTTTACTTGGAAACTTTGTTATACACCCAGTAGGCCTTTCCTCTTCAGGAACGGGGTAGGCCTTCTGTCGGCTGGGTGTTAGCTCCTGTGTGGCTAGAGCATCAGAAGGTAGCGTAGATGGGCATCTGATGGGTGCTGGAGGGCCCAGGAGCGCTTGGTACTGGGGTCCTTGGCACACAGGCTGTGCTCTTAGCCTTGGAGTTTCTGTCTGGAGAAGCTGAGTGAAGAAGTAAAACAGTTTTTTTTTCCCTCTGAGTTTTAATCTAATCAGATAGTCATCCCTGTCTCCTTGGTGCCAGTTACAAGGTGTCTCGTGTACTCAAGAATGAAGTAGTGCTTTTTTTTTGTTTTTTTTTTAAGATTTTATTTATTTTTTTTGACGGAGATCACAGGCAGAGAGGTAGGTGGGGGTGGTGGGGAAGCAGGCTCCCTGCTGAGCAGAGGCCTGATGTGGGGCTCGATCCCAGGACCCTGGGATCATGATCTGAGCTGAAGGCAGAGGCTTTAACCCACTGAGCCACTCAGGTGCCCCATGTAGTGCTGTTCTTAAAACTGCTTTCCTGGACAGCTAAGTTAGGTGACGCAAGCCTTGGGGGAGAAAGATTTTTCTCGAAACGAATGATGAATTTTATAACCTATTGTCAATTAAGATCTCAGTCTCTGCACCACTGAACATGGCAGGATGAGACGGGCCACGTAGGGAAGACTGGCGTCTGTCTGAGCCGGGCCCACACAGCAGGCACCTGGTGGATTAAACCCACGCCAGAGCCAGCCACGTGGGTCAGGGCGGCCGTGTCCACGTGGAGGACAGCCCGAGGCATGCTTCCCGTGTGTGCTCCATCAAGATAGACTGCAACTCTCTTGACTCCGCTGGGGTTTGGTGCACTGCCCTGGGCATTTCGTTCTTTCCAGCTCTCGGTGGTACCCACTGAGGGAAGCGCAGTGGTACAAGGGAACAGAGTCGGTTTTCTACCATTTAGAAAATCAGTTTGGAAAGCGAACAGAAGAAGATGGATTTGCATGTTGAAAAATATCTCCTGTTTTTTCACATCGGTTAGACTGGTGGTGCAGGGACAGTTCAGCCGGCCGTGGCGGTGGCTCTGCAGGCCTTGTGGGACCCGGGGTGGACTGCCATGGAAGGGACTCGTACAACTGGTTTTGTAGTTGCTTTTATAGATGAAACTCAGCTTTTAAAGTATTTTAGGAGTTTGACTTAGAGGTCCTTCTTTCCTTCTGACATAGCCTTGTTTTTTTTTTTTTTTAATTTTTAAAGTCTCTTCAGCTCTGTTTTCTGCCATCACCAGTAATGTTATGTAACATAAACCACCTGTTACTGATTTGGGCACATCTCAGACTAAATTACTAGTTGCTTTGACTGCATTGGCTCTCTTAATTATTGCAAAGTAGAAATGAGAAGTCATCTTCCCTCCTCAATAATTTAGCTTTGGGGGAACTAAATGGCTTTTCCTCTTTCTTCCTCCCGAAGGCCTTTTAAGCAGTAGAATGTGCTAAATACTGGACTTGATTCCGGGCGCCGAGTGCTCATTTGCTGCCAAAGACCCACTCGGGGGCCCTTGTCCAGAACGCTTTGAGACTACATTTGGCCAGAGGCAGGGTTCCTTGATTGCTCTATTCAACTACAAGGGAGCCTATATTTTTCCCTCTTAATACTAATTTCCTTTTGTACCATTTCTCTCTCTCTCTCTCTCTCTCTTTTTTTTTTTATTGCATTAGCATTTGGGAGCCTGGCCTCAGGTTCAGCTGATCTTTAACACCCTTGTGGGTTGAGGCAAGGAAGGGGAGAGAAGTTTCTCTGATGCAGGGTTAGCCAGTGTTACCTGTAAAGGGCCAGCAAGGAAGCACTTGCAGCTTCACGGGCCATTTCTGCCACCACTGCCCTGGGAATGGGCACGCTGTGTTCTGTCATAACCTGGTTTACAAAAACACTGCAGGCTAGATGTGGCTCTCCGGCCCCAGTTTGCCCAGTCCTGCTCTCGTCCCTTGTGGCGAGGGCGCCATGACCTTGCTGAAAGCACGCGTTAACCACCTCAGAGCTGCGTGAGGCTGGACGAGAAAAGTTCTGTAGGTGCGTGCGCCACGCTCCCCGTGCCCTCTGGGCACCCGTGCTTCTGGAGCTGGTGTTTCTAGCACACGGCGTAGCCCTTGTGGTGCGTAATTGAACAGCCAGGCTCGGGCACTAAGTGACCGTCCCTCACCGCACTGACTGGTGCATGTGCTCGTAGAGGGGGATGGGCTTGGCTGTGCAGAACACCTGCAGAACCCAGGGACTTAACCCCCAACTGCTGGGTCAGCTGCTGGCTCCCCATCCTCAGCTGGTGGCCCTCTTCCAGAGCTTCCCCAGTGGAGAAGCCCAGCCTCAGAGAAGGTCACTCATACCCCCTTCCTGGAGCAGCCAACTCCAGCCCTACCTTCCTCCCTCCTCGTTCCTTCTTTTCTATCCCCAGGTGTCGATCCCAAGAACACTTTGCCTGCACTCGTCCTGCATGCAAACCTCACCTTGGCCTCTGCTTCCCGGGGCAGCCAACCCTTGCTACAGGCTTCCGTACTTTCTTAGCACTGCCGGCTTGAAGCCTGAGGACACCGTGTTCCAAGTATTTAGTAGAATGACAGAGGGTGCCCGTAGGGTATCAGGCGCCATACATGCGAACTAGGTAGACTATTTATTCTGGATGTGAATTTGCTATTTATTCTAAATGTTCGATTTTATGTTATAAGACTGAACTTGCCAAATAAAAGTTTGAATTGTGTCCGGCTCATTGTAAGTAGTCTGTTTTTGTGTGCTTTAGTGGCAAAGCCGTATCGAATTCTACTGTACCCAAAAAAGAACACCCCAGTGAGAAAGGGTGGAAGATGTGTGGTTCATTTCTCACCCCATTTGTCCCAGCACCCCAGCTTGTTTTCAGACCCAGAAGACTGTGTAGTTAAGGCACAGATGGAAAATGAGCACGAGCTCAGACTTGGGTAGGCAGCCAATACCTCCACCCTGGAAATGCTGTTCCCCCACGGATAGTTCCTTCTTTGAGAGCCGGAGAAGATGGTCCTCCACATGCTTACCATCAAAATTGCCAGGAAAGCTAAAAATCAGAAGCCATGATTTAAGGGAAGAAAATGCTGAATAATACTAAATTAGGAATGAGTGCCATGAAGTCAAATCACTACTGAGTTTTGGATAAATTTATAAATATTTTGAAGAGCTTATTTTTTTTAAAAACTATGTGTGTGTGCACATGTATTAAACCACCTTCATGTCGTTGATGTCTCGGTGTGCCCAGACCTTTGTCCCATTCACTCCTTCCGTGGAGAGCCTGCTGTCTTCCTTTTCCATCACTTGCATTTTTGTCCCTGTGATGGTGGTACCATTCTCACTGGAGAATTTATCTCTCGTTGTTTTTGGGGAGCGAGCTCCTGGAAACACGGCATTCCTTTCATCATGATATGCTGTCCCAGGGAGATGGTAAGCTGTTCCTTTGCCTGAGACTGTGACTTCTTTCCTTTCCGGGAGTTGTGAAAAAGCTTATACTGGGGCCTCCAGAATGTCTCACCTGACTCAGCAAAAACCACGAGCCCGTGGAACAGTTATTGGGCCTAAAGGAGAGTCTGAGGTCTGCTCAACCCAGCTTTTCCCTTCTCTGTCCCAGCAGTGATTCCCAAAGCTGGCCAGTCCCACCCCCTTGGGACCATTTGAAAGTGCATGGTGGGTGGGTTGGAGGGTGCTCAATGTCACGGTAATGGAAAGGCCCTTCTGACCTTTTGAGGACAGGGGCCTGGTGTGGTAGACATCCTGCACTGCTTGGGAGAGTTGTGCACAGTCAAAAATTGTCCCGAGTCCACACATCACCGCTGGAAAGTTCTAGAACATTTTCATCACTCCCTGTCCCTGGCAATCACTAATCTATTTTCTGTGAATTTGACTATTTTGGAAATTTCATGTAGATGGAGTCATACAGTCTGTGGTCTCTTGCATCTGCCTTCGGCTGGTGTTTTCAGGTTCTCTTTGTGCTGCTGGCATGCGTCCTCAGTACCTAGTTCCCTTGTAGGGGAGAATGAGATTTCACTGGAGGGATATACCACTGTTGGTTATCCATTCAAAAGATGATGGACGTTTGGGTCGTTTCTGCTTTCTGGCTATTATAAATAATGTTGTGAGCTTATATAAGTTATCATGGGGACATGTTTTTCAGTTCTTTTGGATATATGCCAAGGAGTGGAATTTCTGGATCATGTAACACTGTGTTTAAGTTTTTGAGAAACTGCCAAACATTTCCATGTAGCTGCACCATTTTACTTTCCTCCCAGTGACGTATGAGGGGTCTGATTTCTCAGATCCTTGTCAACATTTGTTATTATCTGTCGTTTTAATTCTAGCCACCCAGTGACTGTGAACTGGTTATGTCTTCTTAAACACAAACAAGCGAACAAAACAGAATTAAGAAAGAAGACTTTAAAAGGGAGGTGTTGGCTAAATGAAAAGGCCCTCATTAGCTCTAGTAAGTGGATTTTACCTTGAGACTTTGACCCTTTCTGTGGCAAACAGTATTTTTGTTTCCCAAAACACCAGTTGGTTCCATTGACTTTAGTTCTCTTCCATAAACATTTATTGAGCACACTGCATGTCTCAGACCCCGAGATACAAAGATGAATGAGGCAGGTCCCTGCCTTTTGGATGCTTACAGCCTAATGGGGAAAGGAGATGAGGTCAGAGCGTTGGGGAGAATGTACTTAAGTGCCATCTAAAGGTACAAAGGAGGGACAGTGGAGGGACAGTCCCCCTGGGTTGGTGGGTGGGTTTAACACGACCCCTCACCCACAGAAACAAAGTAATCCCCCAGATTAACCGGAGAGATGAGGTATGGCTTGAGTACTTCCTACTTTAAAATGTGAAAGGACCTTACTTTCCAGACAACCGGTGTGAGGATTCACAGTTGACAGCCTTTTTGAGGAGGCTCAGGCAGGTGAGGAGATGGCCGAGGGGGGTGGCTGGCCGCAGCAGGTCTGGCCCCTCACAGCGCCCCCAGGGGGTCGGTGTTGTCCAGCTGCTGGTCTTCGGAATCCTGGAAAAGAGAGGTCTCTCAAACACTGGGCGCAGGCCCTCCTGCTTGTTGGATCTTTCTAGGCAGAGCATTCCTTCTGGTCCCTGCTCTGAGACCTTGAAGGGGTTTAGAACACGCTACCAAAATATGGCCCCTTGGCAGTTTAAATATCTTAAACTGAAGGAATTTTTGGAAAAAAAAAAAAATACCAGCAGAAGCAGGATGGTGCCTGTGAACTTCCCCCACCTTGCTTCTCTTCCTTTGAACAGGTCATAAAACCCTCCCTGCACCAGGAGGAAAGAAGACATTGATCACCAGAGACAAGAATTTGGGGCCAGGAAATCTGTACAAACCACCTGGTTAAACTCCATATCTTCCTACTTGCGTCACCGTGTACTCCCCACAAGCCAAAACCTCTGTCTTGTCCATTCTGCACAGATGTGTTGTTTCTTTGTATAAAAGATAGAAAAGCTTCCACTCTGGTCACTTCAGGTCTTCATTCTCTCGTGAGGACTCCCAGGTACATGCAGACTTGCCGTAAAGTTGATTCGCTTTTCTCCTGTGAATCTGTCAGATTGCTTTTCAGATCCAGCCAGGGATTCTAAGAGGGTGGAGGAAAACTTCCTTCCCAAGAGCCTAAAACAGTTCTCCTCCAAGCACCCTGTGAACACGTGCGTGGGAGGAGCGTCTGCTCATGCTGCCGTCCTGTGTTAGGAGGCAGGAGGGTAGGGTGGTTCTGGGGGCGGCTGCCCTCCTTGAAGCTTATGGCCCCTGGACAGGTGGGTTCCATTCTGGTGTTTTCCCCTCATCTTTATAAAGGGCCATAATAATATTTTCCTCACAGGGAAGTATGAGGCTTAAATTGGATACTGCATTAAGGAAGGTACACACACCCTACCAAAGGTGGCTCTTAGTATGATTACAAAAAACTGCTTCCAGATTAAAAATTCTTTGTCATTGGCTCTTGAGTATTTGAGAGTCCAATCAGAAGCCATACTCTGGAGGCAGAACCCAAGCCTGGTGCTGCCTGCGGCTCTGATTGGCCCCGAAGTGCTGTTATTTTGCATACGGGATGTGTTCCGGATGTCTGGATTGCTACAAATATTGTACAGGCACCCCACCTTCAATATAAAAGTCAGGAGAATGGAGGATGTCCCTTCCGGGGGGCAGCCTCAGATTTCTGTTCCTGGAACATCTCTGCCACCTGGTCTGATGAGAAGGGTTCATCTGACTCCCGCATTTGGGACACACTGTCTCCTGCCTCAGGAGAACCTTTCATGCGTGGTGCTGACAGAGCTCTCAGAAGAGGACAGGCAGCTGAGAAGGCGTGAAGAACACGGAATGACATGGATAACACCCCCTTCCCGCTGCACCAGCTTTTTTACATCAGGTTGATTTCAACATAACAGTGCTTCCAGACATGAACTACTAGTTAAGAAATCAACAGCCGAACTTACCCTTTCAGTTTGGGTGGGGAAACTTCTACATGGGTTTGATGAGAAAAACAAAGTAGGTTAGGATCTAGGTTATTTTTCAGTCTATTGCAAAGATATTAGTTCTGCTGCCACGGACACTGAGAACACAAGACGTTTACGTTTGGTTCACTGCAGAAGAACAAAAATATCTGTTGCACTATACGAGCTGAAAAATGGTGCAATAAAATATTTCGGTAATGTTTCAGTGCCAGCTTGCCAGAATGCAACAGCCATAATAGAGTTTTGCAGGAAAGGTAGCATATGTGCAAGCATCAATCAATCACGGCAGCTCTCTGGCTTGGGTTACATTTTTTTTTTTTTTAAGATTTTTATTTATTTAAGAGAGAGCTGTATGTGTATGAGAGAGAGAGCAGGAACTGGGTGAAGGGCAGGCTGTGCACTGAGCAGAGAGCCTGATGCAGGGTTCGATCCTGGGACTCTGAGGTCATGACCTGAGCCAAAGGCAGACACTCAACCGCCTGAGCCACCCAGGAGCCCCCTTGGCTACTTCTTCATGAGGGTTCTAGACTAACAGGCCAGATTCAGGTGATTTCCTTGGACCTGAGCAATGCTGTCAGCTCAGTCTCCTGAGGTACACACTAGCTATCAATTTTTCTTACCTCCCTATAAAAGGAAGAATTAAGTTTTATTCCAGCTGCTCAGTGCTGACCTGGTAGTAGGCCATGGGCAGGGGTACCTTCCACACTCCGTGTGAATGGGGTACCTTGCTGTGGGCTCCCCCTGGGATGAAGTCAGTGGAGCCCCATCCAGGCTCAGGGATCACTAACTACAAACAAATGGTTATTCCTTGGAACATCAGAGCAGAACATGTCCCTCTAGAGAGCAAAGACCTGATCAAAGTGAGATAGGGAAACCAAAGGACTCCATAAAGAGCTGCTTTTGCTCCTTTTCCTGCTTTCACTCTCGATACGATGTGCACCCCGGCCCCACCTTACACGTGCCTCCTAATGCAAATAGTGTATGTCTTCCTTGGAAGAGCCAAGGAGTTAATGATTTCTCTAGAACAGATAACATCTAAGGAAGGACCAGGTGAGAATGGCGGGACTAAGCTACCATATGCGCACTCCAGGCCACCAGCAGCTAGACATCTCTGGGCCAGGGGCCCCTGGCTCCAAGGACTAACAGATGGGCCCTGGTCTTTGTTCTAACCAGTTCTGGGATGCCTGAGGGGGCATATACACCAGACCACCCTCCTCAATAAAAACTCCAGACCCAGAACACAGACGAGACTCGTGCTCCTTTCATTTCCTTTCCCTGTGTCTCAGCACTCCATCTGTATCTGCCCTCTCTGTATCTTCAGTAAACTCTGCTCTCTCTTTCTGCTGGCTCAAATTTGATTTCCATCCTAGGAGAAGCCACTCACCCTCTTGGTGGGTCCTGTGGGACCCCCTCTGGATCCTTGGACCCGGCCTGCTGTCATTAAAAGGAACATAGTTCCAAAAGCAAGAAGCAGCTCTGACAATGGGCAGAAAAATTGTGGCAACCATGTAAAATGAAAGTTTATTTTAAAAAAAAGTTTAAGTAGGTATAGTTCCATGTTCAATGTGGGGCTTGAACTCATGGCCCTGGGATCAAGAACTGCATGCTCTACCAACTGAGCCAGCCAGAGACCCCCAACATGGAAATGTGTTTAAAGCATAACGTAAGGGAAAGAAAAAAAAAAACCAAAAATGCTTTTTATGGCCAGAGTCTGTCTTTGTACTGGCTACCTCATAAATGTTTGTGACAGAATGCAGCCCAAAATTTCTTCGTGTGACAAATCACTTCTCACCTGGTCGTGAGGTTGGGGGTGATCAGCCTCTATTACCTCTAATTATTGGAGATCTCACCCCAAAGAACCCAGGGACACTCAATAGTCACCTGGCTTCAGTCAGCTTGTAATACTGGCTTTTAGGATTATTGCCCTGAGACACATTCTAGAAATGTGCCTTTCTTGGTGCAAAGCTTTCCAGTTGGATTTGCTGGAAGACCTCACTCTCCCGCACCCCACCTGCATCTGTTCCTAGGTAAAGAGGCAGACTCACCATGAAGTAGTCATAGGAAGGTTCTGGGGGAGCGGAGGGGGTGCTCTCATACAAAGGGTTTGGTATATTCTCAGGCTGCTGCTTGCCAAGAGCCGCGACGTCGATATCCTCCTCCGACTGCTCCAAAAGACAAGCACAGGCTGACAGGATGTCCCCAGGGCAGGAGTGGCTCATTCAAGTTGTCAGGTAAAGCAAGCCGTGCCCACCCCTCTTAAGTGCTGGGCTCAAGGACTTCATACGTCCATCCAAGCGTGACTGCCACCCGAATCCGCACACAGGGTGTTTCCACCCTCCCCCCAACCCACTGCCACCTCCCCAAGAAGCGTCCTCATGCCCATGCCCACAGGACCCAGTCCCACCCAGGGTAACTGCTCTTCTGACTCCCATCACCCTGGAGTGGCTTTGCCTGTCCTTGAACTTAATATGAAAGGACTCCTACGGCGTGCACACTGTCGGTAAAGATGCTGGAGCTTATAAATCGGCAGGTGCTCTGCTAGGAGGGAATGGCCTCCTGCCAGAGGAGCCGCATCTAGGGGAGGCAGCTGGAGGAGAGGCTGGGCTGGCAGGGGCAGAAAGCACAGAATGGGGGGTGTTCCGCTACTGTGCTGTGGCCACACGCCACCCCCCCGGAGCCTCCCCTGCTCAGCTGACCTGCTGACCTACATGTGGGCTCAGCAGTTCAAATGGGGCGAGCTTTGAGGCTGGCTGCAGAGTGAGGCCCGACCATGCAGGTCCTCGACCCTCTCCACCCCCAGAGTCAGTCAGCCTTGAAGCTCTCACCAAGCAGACCAGGTGCCTGCCTGTCTCCTGAACCCTCCGAGGGGAGGGTTCTTGGCCCCTGGTGAATGTGCCTCCAAGCCCAGCCCCTGGCTCCCATGTGAGCTCTGTGAGGCAGCCGGTCAGGGACTGGGCTCCAAAGAGGGATCTCCCCCATCACCATGTTCCCATGCCTCTCTTACCTCAAAATGCTGGAAGCCAGCTGTTCTCCGGTTTAGTCGGAAGTAAGAATATGCAGCCAATGCAGCGGCTCCAAAGACCAGGGCGGTGGCGAAGAATATCCCTGTTCCCACGCCCGTGTGGACTGAAGCCTGCACAGAGAAAGAGGAGGGGGTACCTTGCCAAGAAGGAGTGCTTTCTGGAGCCCACCCTACTCTTGCTGGCCCCCAGGCATCTTGGGCCGATTGGGATAAAAGGAAGGATAAGATAGGTAGCATGTAGTTAGCCCTTCCTACTACTGGGGTCTAAGCCCCTTCCATGACATAATCCAATTAAACCTATAATAGCCCCAAGAGATAGGGACATGTATCACTGTTTTCATTTTTATGTGGGGCGACTGAGGCCCAGAGAGGGTAAGTGCTTTGCTCAATATCACAGAGCCAGTGAGGAGTAGAGGTAGGTGGACTCTGAAGCCAGCCTGGCTTTGGAGCTGGTGCACTTAACCACGATGCTATTGAAATTTCCAGAAGCCAGCTGGGCTCACCCTTCCCTCACACATTTAGAAGGCAGAATACTAACAATACCAAAAAACCCACCCTCCTATAGCCTGCTATACTGGGTACCAAGGACTGTCCTAATTATTTTATTTATTGACTCATAATCCTCCCAAGAATCCAAGGGGTCAGCATTATGACCCCCCCTTTTGCAGATGAAAAAAATGGGGCTCAGAGACCTGTCCAAGTTGCACAACAATGAAGTGGAGGGGACAAACCAGAGCTCAGGATTTCTTACTCCCCTCCCAGTGGCTTCTCTATTGGCCCATTCACTCAACAAATATCAATAGTGGTGGGTGTTGTGTTGCTAAGGCACCGGAGCAGGGGTGGGGTGAACCAGGACCTCACATCTCTGAGGCCGGCTGCTGCGGATGTGGATATGGGAGGCTCCTCCCATCTCCAGAGGACAGGAGACAAAGCTTCTAGCTACAGTTTGCCTCTTGGGGAGAGGACAAGTGGACCTTGGAACTCCACCCACCCACCAGGAGCCCTGGATACTCACCACTGGAGCGGGGGGTGCTTTTAAAGGCCTGGAAATGACATGAATGATCCCATTGGAGGCAAAGATGTCCCACTGCAGAATGGCCCTTCCATCGACAAACCTGGTCTCCTGGGGAAATGAGAGGGGGCTGATGGAGATCTGTGGCCATCAGCCTCTTTTCCCCATGTGGGCAACCGCGTGATAGAAGGACGTTGCTCAATTTCTCCCAGGTCCTGCAGTCCAGGGGTCAGGCCTATTGTTACCAACAGGCAGCATAGGACTTCTGCTCCCATCTGGACAGCACAGAACACCTTAGTTGCCCTTGGGCCACAAGGCAGATTGAAGAGGTACAAGGAACCCAAGGGGCCATTCTGTCCTACCAACTCGTCTACCAGATGAGAGTTCAGAGGGAAAATGGCTTGTCCAGGATCACCCAGATAGCAAATGGCCAACCCTAAGCCTCTGGACTTTGAATCCACTGCTCTGAACATCCCACTGAGCTGTTAGAGAATGGATCTCATCCCCTGCTAATCAGAGCATGATCTACTGTCCTGTGGTTGTGGGCATTACCTGAGAGTTCATTAGAAATGTGGAACCTGAGGTCCCCATACTCCACCTGCTAAAGTATGATCTGTATTTCAACAAAACTCTAGCTGATTCAAATGCATGTTAAAATTTGAGAAACCCTGGTCTAAACCACTAATCTTCGATAAAAGAAATAATTGATCAGGTAAATATTAAAAAATAGTACTCATTTGGCACTTGCTACCAATCACACACTAGCCCTACATGCCACAAGCACAGAGTCACTGAATTTTCACAAGCGCCTATGATTCTATGTCATGGTCGCCACGGCTACCACTGCCATCAGCATCATGACCATCACTATCATCATCCTCATGATCATCGTCAATATTACCATGACTATCATCACCAATAGCATCACTGCCACTGTCACTGTGAAACAGAGGCAGAGGACCAGAAAGCTTTAAACGTGGTTTCATGTCAAGTTTCTCATCCATCATTACCAGTTTCCAGGGCTGGAGGTCACCAGTGGTTTACTCCCCAAGGGATAGAGGTTGCAGAACAGCGTGGTGTACTACAGTGTGCACCTAATACCATCCCCTGATTATAGGTTTAACATTTACTTTCATATTATAATAGTTGTCATCTATTAAGCACCTACTGTATGCTAAGAGTTTTGAATATATTCTCTCCAGTTCTGCCAGCAAGTCCAGAAGATTTTTCATACCGGTTGTTGCTGGTCCTGGCTGGAGGTGATGAGCAGCTGGCTTCCCAGCTTAGTCTGCAGGACAGTACCATTGACAAGGTCATTGTAAAAGAAGATGCTGACATTGGCGAGGTGGTGCTCAATGTCTCGCCCAGACAGCGTCTGAGAAGAAAGGAGAAACGCAAGAATGGTCTATAGAAGCCAGGCAATTTTATTTTAAATAAAAGAAAAAAAAATCACTCTCCATGGCCTTCTGCATCCATGTGGAGAGAAG